CAACTAAAAACAAAACTAACAATTTTAATTACAAAACTAAAAAAAACTAGAAAGCAACTAAAGATGAAACTAACAATAAAAAATAAAAACAAAACTAACAACAAAATTAAAAATAAATCTAATAACTGAACCTAAAAACAAAACTAACAACAAAGGAAAAAACAAAAGTAGCAGCAAAAACAAAAGTAACAACAAAATTTAAAAGCAAAACTATAAACGAAACTAAAAAAAACTAATAAAGAAACATTGAAAGAATAAAGAAATAAAAAACAACTAAGAACAAAACTAAAAGCAAAACTAACAACAAAAGTATAAATAAAATTAACAACAAAACTTAAAAGCAAAATTATAAAACAAAATTAAAAACACAGTTTTTCTAAGGATATCAAATTGAGACAAAAAAACGAATCAAAAGTGTTGCGAAGCAACATTTTGATTCATTTTTTTTCTCAATTTGATATCCTTAGGAAAACTTTGAAACTAATAAAGAAACTTAAAAGAACTAAAAAACTAAAAACAAAATTAAAATCACTAAACAAGAAACTAAAAAGAACTAGAAAAAACTAAAAACAAAACTGAAAAAAAGAAAAAAGAAACTAAAAACTAAAAAAAAACTGATAAAGACAAATAAAAAAGAAAACTATAATAGAAAAGACAAAAATCGATATCTGGTAACTGGTTAAAAAATAGAAATTTTAATGTCGACACATTTATAACAAGAACCAATTTGTTTTTTTCAATTCTTATTTAACTTTCTATTTTCATTTTCAATTATTCTGTATACAATTCCGATAAAGATCCATATGGGTGATGAAATTAATTAATTAAAACGATTTTTAATTACTAAAGTATATGTACTTTAGTCGAGTAAAAATATTCAAATATCATCCGCTGTCAGCAAAAAAATTAATGCTTACTTGTTACTTGCGTACATATAATTAAAAGAAAATTTAATTTCGAAACCGATTCTTGGAAAGTGCAAATGATGCCTTACTGAGTAGTATCAAATATCTGCTTGTGAAGCTAAAAACCCTTATTTCCTAATACAAAAAGCATCACCTATACTTATTCGCTTATTGAACACTTCGAATCTCCTTTTTCAATTTCAATAAAATTATTTATTTATTAACGTTTTAATTAAACAGAAATTTTTTTTTCTTTAAATATTTTCTAACAATTATCGCATTGAATTGGAAAATAATGTAAATTCTTAATAATTATTTGGTTTATTTAATTTTTTTAAATAAAAAAAACTATGTTCCTACAGAAATTAATTTTTTCATAAAAAAAATTATTTTATACAAATTTTAAAACAAAAATATTTGTTACAAAAATTAATTGTTTTGTAACAAAAATATTTAATACAGAAATTAATTTTTTACATAAAAAAATTAATATATAATAATATTTTATACAAAAATTTATTTTTTTTTAATATAAAAATTATTTCTCCAAAAGTTTTGAACGTTCAAATATATAAACGAAATTTTATTTTTATTTCTAATTGAAATTAATTTTTTATTACAACAACTTTCTGTCATTATCAAAAAAATTAATTGTAAAAATGTAAAATATAAAATTGCAATCAGTAATAATCTAAAATAAATAAAAATAAATAAAATATTTTTAAGAACAAATATTTCGTTCATTTGAAATTTAAACATTTCTGGATCATAAAACTAATTTTTTTAATATAAAAAAATTAATTTTTTCAATTATTACGATGTTGACAGGTTTCATAAAACTTTGAATTTTTATTTACTTTATTCATTTCAAATAAATTACAAATTTTTATGTAACCCGTCAACGTCGTAATTATTGAAATTATAAACAAGTTTTGAAACATCAAAACATCTCTGTAACAAAAAATTTAATTTTTTATTACAAAAAATATTTTTTATAATAAAATACCAAACTAAAAGAAGTAACAAAAATACTTGAAAATATTTATATAAGTTAATAATAATAAATTTCTTCCTAATAATAAATTACTTTTTTTAATAATAATAAATTAACTTTCGTGAAATTCGCCAAGTTTATAATCAACAATTTAGAAAAAAACACATTTTTCCATTTCAATTTTTTCAAAAGTTGTTTTCAATAATTTCCTAATTAATAATTTACAAAAGAAAAAATCTTGAACGAAAAAATGTATTGTTTTTCACAGGAAAAATATTTTTTCTTCCTATCGTTGATCATAAAGAGTTGTGAACTTCACTGACGTGTAAATTACCTCTTTTAATAATAATAAATTATTTTTATTAAAACTTATGTCATGTTTAACAAAAAATTATAATTTTAATATTTTTTTACAATAAATTATTTTTAATAACTTTATGAAAAGGGGTTTAAATTTAAATTTTAATGTGACATATTTTTGAATAGTAATTTACTTTTTATATAATTTTCAAAATAAATAATAAATGACTACAAAAAAATCTTGTACAAAATTAATGCAAAATTAGAATTACTGATACTTATTCCAATTATTGGAATTAAACATTCATTATATAGAATCTCGTAAAGAATAAAAAATTTAAATTATTGAACCCAACGAGCGCAAACTTTGTGGAGAACGTGGAGAACGAAGTAAATATACTATATGAAGATCCCAGCGGAAGAAATGGCGAGAGGAGAAAATTATAACACTTAGTTATTATATATTATATACAAAAAGAGAAAAAATAGGACAATATGAAAAAATACAAACGACTTATGAATTTATGTTGTGGTTTTCGAAATCGGCAAGATATGAAATTACGATTTACGAGCTCGCATACAATTTGCGTGTGGACGCATGAAACCACGAGGTTATACCCGCCTCGTGGCAGTCGATGAATGATATAGTCGCTTAATAACACCGCTCATCTCAAATCGGTATATAGAGTTTGTAAAACCTCATATACAAATCAGATGCAATATACAGAGGGAGAGAAGAAGAAGATAGAAATTACAAAACTAAAAACAAGAAACCTTTAATGATTTTCTCATCAAGATTATTGCTATTGCTGACCTACACAAGATAAATTTGAATCATCAACTATATACGAAAGCAGTCGGATCTTAATGTGCCACGAATACAAATTTATTTTTTTCTTCTTTTATTGGTATTTTTTATTTCTTTTTTTTATCTTTTAAAGAAAGAAATTTCAATTTTTAACAGTATTTAAATTTTTATTATTTTTTATTTTCTTCACTGTTTTTTATTTTACTAGATTTGAAAACTAATTTTCTACACTGTTCTTTAGTTTACTAAATTTGAAAACTAATTTTCTACACTGTTTTTTTAATTTACTAATCTATATTTAACATTTGTTTCACTAATTTTTAAGACTAATTTTCTTCACTGTTTTTTATTTTAGGTACTAATTTTGGAAATTAATTTTCTTAACTATTTTTTTTATTTTACCAATTTTCTTGATATTTTTATTTTAGGAATTTATTTTACTAATTTCAAAAACTAATTCTCTTGAATATATTTTTATTTTACTAATTTATTTTAATAATTTTTGACGAACTTTTTTTTTATTAATTTATTTAACATTCATATTACTAATTTTTGACTAACTTTCTTTTTTTATTAATTTATTTTAGATTTACCCAATAAGTTTTGAAGAATAATTCTCTTCATTTTTTTTATTTTATTAATTTTCTTAATTTTTTTATTTTACGAATTTATTATACTCGTTTCAAAAACTAATTTTTTTGTTTATATTTTTATTTTACTAATTTTGAAGGCTCATTTTCTTGATTATTTTTAATTTACTTGTTTTTCGAACTAATTATCTTGACTATTTTTTACTTTTCTGAATTTATTTTACTAATAATATTTAAAATTTATTTTTACTAATTTTTGACTAACTCTCTTTTTTTTATTAAATTACTTACTTTACATTTACTTAATAAATTTTGAAGAATAATTTTCTTGACTATTTTCTAGTTTTAATATTAATTTATTTTTCTCATTTATTTAACATTTATTTTTTACTAATTTTTAAGACTTATTTTTTTTTACTGCTTTGTTATTTTGCAAATTTATTTTACTATTTTTTTTTTTTTTTTGTTATAATAATTTTGAATAATAATTTTTTCATTTTTTTATTTTTATAACGAAGTTGAAGTCCACGACGTTTATCAACGAAAAAAATTTATTTAATGTATTCATGCATTATTTTTAATTTAATATTTAATTGTAAAATAATTATTATCAAAACATAAACATCAATCTCTTTTTTCTAAATATTTTTGTGTCAATATTGATGCGTCATTTTTAATTAATTTACTAAGTGAACAATTTTTTTTCGTTGATCAACGTTGTGGACTTCAACTTAGTTTTTTATAATTTAACATTTTTTGTACTAATTTTTTTTATTTTATTAATTTTGAAGATTAATTTATCCCACTGTCTTTTTTATTTTACTAATTTTCCTGATTATTTTCTTTTTATTTTAAAAATTTTGTAGATTAATTTTCTTGACTTTTTTTTATTTTTTAAATTTATTTCAATATTTTACTAATTTATCTTTCTACTTTTGAAGACTAATTTTTTTTACTGTAATTTTTTATTCAAGGTACTAATTTTAAAGAATAATTTTCTAGATTTTTTTATTTTACTTATTTTGAAGACTAATTTTCTGGATTATTTTTTTATTTTACTAATTTTGCAAATAAAGTTTCTCTTTCTTTTTTTAAATTTCTAATTTATTTTATTAATTTTTTTTCCTAATTGTAAAGACTAATTTTTTTCACTGCTAGTTTAAAAGTATCAAATTGCAACTAATTGACACCAAAAATATAGATAAAAACATAACTTAATTAAAATTTTTGTATATCAAGTTGGTCTCCATTTGTTACCATCAGAAAAACATTGTGTTATATATTTCAATACCGAAAGGTAAATACAACGCAACATTTCAATATTTCGATTAAAAATACCAGTCAGCTAAAAATGTTGACTGTCACCAAAAAGAAATAAATATTTCAAAATATTGTCGACTCACCATTTTTTATGACACGTTCTAAAATCGCAAATTCTCCCTTTCCAACATATCCAAAATGAAACCACTTAAAAATTATTTATTGCTTTTGTATAAATAAAGGTCACAACCACCTATTTGACACTTTTCTTTATCATAAACTAAATAAACTTCTGAACCATAAATTTTTTCCTACTGTATATGTATATATGTAAATCAGTATTAAAAAAAACCAAACACGTTTCTTTCAAATATTTGCACTTGCGCTTCACTCTTTAATCGCGAAATTCAGGCGCGAGCGCCCACACGATATTAAACATAATTTAATTTCAACTTCATAATACATAAACAAACAGAATGATAAAAAAAAAAAAAGAAAAATTTCTCTCCTCTTGTCACACAATCCACGTGATAACTATTCGGCAAAATGATAAAATACAAACAACAATAATAACAATAACCGGTCTCACGCGATAGTTGCCGCCAAAGTTTTATCTTATTATCAATACAGATGTTCCCGAAGAATTTAGAATGCCAGGAATGAAAGAGGAGAAGAACCGGAGGAAAACGACGGATTTTCAACCTGGCGAACAGAAACTGAGCTCACGACCGGCAGGTAGGTGGCCAATTCCCCTCCACAAAAGTCCGCTCACCGTTCACGTCGCGTTCTCCGTTCTCGAAACTTTTCCTTCACCGCACGATTCGCCTTATTATATGTTGCTTATTCTGTCTTCTTGATTCACATCTCACACACAGTGGCGAGCCACGGATCTAAAGCATATGGGGTGGGGTTACAACAGGTAAAACCCACTGTAGAAAAGTGCAGTGGGTTTCAACTCGGTTGGGCGATACTTGCGAAAAGGTCACCTTACACTCCTTTTTCTAGAAACTCAAGAGTTCAATCATTTCAAATAGAGAAAAAAAAAAAAAAAAGATGCACCACTTCTCTCTAAGTTTCCAATTTTGAAAAATTAAATGAATAAATTACGATTTGTTAATGTACCTATAACCTTTTAACATTTGCTTCCTTTGAATCGCTAAACAATGCCTCAGCTATAGACATTATATGCGAACTTGGATGTGAATCATCTAGAGATGAAACAATTGAAGAAAAAATGAATTGTAGTGTATTGTTCGAAATTTCCAGTTAGATTCAATTTTTTCCATTATATCAGAACAGATGCAAAAAATTTCATTTTCGAAATTCCCTGATTCTTTTTATCATTTCTCCTGAATCGTAATTATAACAAATTTTCCAATTTCAAACAGTGTTGACAATAACAAAACAAAGAAGCCTAATTTATCGCATTTTAGCAAAATTTACAGTATTTTTTACCTATGAAGACAATTTTTTTTTAATTTCGATTCGACAATAAAAATAATAAAATTTTAACAATTTTATTGTGAATCTTTAAAGGCAAAATTCCCTAAAATTCGAATTTTTTTTTTAAATCCATAACTTTTCCCTAATACAGTAAAACCTGTCGGAATGCAACACGATTTTTAAAACTTTATTACAGTAAACAATTTATAAAAAATTGTTTCATAATTTAATTTTGTAATATTTTTACAATATTTTGGAACTAAGTAAAAATAATTCTTTTTGGACATTATTGATTGCAAAGAAATTTAAAAATAGCGTTGCATTCCGAAAGGTTCGACTGTATTCATTTTTTCCCTGCGATTTGAGAAGGTATCACTTTCAAAATTTATAATTATATTTCCTACACTTAAAAATTCTATTCTGATTCAAATCAAGAAAGTCAAGTTTATTTTCCAATTTCCACTTTTTAGAACTCGAAAAATAAAAAAAAAAATTTGATGGGAGAATATCTATTAAAGATGATAAAAAAAGAAGCGAAAACAACAACAAATAAAAAATGTATGAAAGAAAATAAATATTAAAGATGAATGAAGAAAGAAGAAAAAAGAACCATCGAAAATTTCGAGGAACAAAATATCAAAAAGGCGATAAAAGAAAGAAGAAGCAAAAAGAAGAATAAACAAAAATTTTGATTGATGAAAATATAATCAAGAAAATGGAAAAAGAAACAAAAATTTTAAATGAAGAAAATTTATCAAAAACAATAAAAGAAAGAAGACATAAAAACAAGAATAAACGAAAATTTCAACAACAAAAAATAATAGAATAAAGTAGACAAAAAAATAAAAATTTTAATTGAAAGAAATATATCAAAGAAGAGAAAAGGAAAAAGACACAGAAACAAGAATAAACAAAAATTTCTATTGATGAAAATATAATCAAGAAAATTGAAAAAGAAACAAAAATTTTAAATGAAGAAAATATAATAAAAATAATAAAGAAAAGAAGAAACAAGAACAAACGATTTTTAAGGAACAAAATATCAATAAAAATGAAAAATATAATGAAAGAAAGAAAAAACAGAAACATGAACAAATAAAAATTTTATGGACGAAAATAAATATTAAAAATGATTTAAAAAAAAGAAGAGACAAGAACAAGGAAAAAATAAAAAAAAAATAAAAAGACAATAAAAGAAAAAGGAAGCAAAAAAAGAACACAACGAATTTTTTGATTTAAGAAGATATAATAAAAAATGTAAATAAAAATATATAAGAACAAATAAAAATTGAGATGAAAGAAAATAAATATTAAATATGATAAAAAAAAGAAGAAACAAGTAGAAATGAAACTTTCGAGAAAGAAAATATACAAAGAAGTCGAAAAGACGATAAAGGAAGGAAAAAGCAAAAACAAGAACAAATGCAAATTTTGATGAAAGAAAAAAATATTAAACATGATAAAGAATATAAGAAAAAAAATAAAAATTTTAATTGAAAAAATATATCAAAGATGAAAAAAGGAAAAAGACACAAAAACGAGAATAAACAAAAATTTTGATATTGAAGAAAGCATTAAAAATAATAAAAAAGAAACAAAAACAAAGATGATAAAAAAAGAAAAATAAACAAACAAAAATTTTGATGGAATATGCAAATATATAATAAATGATTAAAAAGTAGAAGAAAAAAATTTTTCGAACAGAAGAAATAAAAAATCGAGAAAGAGGAACAAATACCAAAAAATAAGATCGAAAAGAAAGAACCAAACATATCTAAATTATCGTTCTGAACTGCAAATGAGAATTAATTACTGTTTAAACTCTGTGTGCCAAATATTGTAAATATAATACGCGAGAGTCAAACAGGAAGACAATGAAACTTCATGAGAAGAAATTCTATAAAAATATTCTCAGATTCGAAGTAAATTAACCAACTCTTAATAATTTTAGAATCAAAGAAAGAAACCAATAAAACAAAAATCTCAATCGAATGAAAAAATTAAATTACAAGTACATAATTCAAAATTTACAAAACTTTTTCCGCGTATTCTAAATGAATATAAAAATAATTCTAAAACATTTTTTTTCAGCGTTACAAAGAATCAACAGAAAAGAGCAGAATAAAATTGAACTGAGATAAAAAAAAATACTTCAAGAAAATATATCGAGGACAAACGCATTATAGATAAAAGATACAAAAGTGCCTTTTCTTCAATTATTTCTTTCATGTTTCTAGAAAAACTAAAAAAAAACTCTTCCTTTCACTATTATTCGATATAATCACTTCTAAAGTTTAGAAATTAAATTAATTTTTCTAATAAGTCAAATTATTCTCTCATAATATTAAAAAAATTAAGTATCAAAATAATAAATTCATACTCTCTAAATATCAAATAGTGAAAAGTCCACTAATTCAAGTTAGTAAAAATCTCTATTAATTTGTAAAATTTCACTATTTAATTTTTAGTTTTATAGATTTTTTACTGAAACATCAATGGGGATTTTTAGTAATTTAAATTAGGATTTCTATTCATTAATTGAAATTTAGAAATTGAAAATTGTAAATCAGTAATATAAATCGCAATTAAAATATTACAATATTACTATTATTGCTATCATTATTACTACACTAAATGAAATTTATTTGATTCAAAAATACCATTTAATTTGATTTACATAAAAATTATTCGATTCAAGTAAATATTTATTTCATAAACGACAATTAGTCGGTTATTTGAATCAAATCAATTTTTTTCAGTGTATTATTATTTTCTTAAAATACTGTGTAATAAATTAAAGAATTTCGTCAAATTTTGACAAACAACAAAAATGATTTTTAATAATTTTATTAAACTTAATAAGTAAACAACGTAGATTAAAAAATTCTTAAATTTGCTTGAGAGGTAATTTCTCAATTTACCTAAATTTCAGCCCGAGCTACAGTATCATTATCGTCGTCATCATCATCATCCTCGTCATAAGAATCACGTTTCTTTTCTTCTTCAATAAATTCACCAAGATCTAATTTAAAGACTTCACGATTTGGAGAACATTTCAATCGCATTCTGAAAAAAATTATTAAATTAATTCATATATTGAATTTATTTGACTAAACATTTTTTTTTAATATAAAATATTGCTTTATGTAAAAAAATATACTATTATTTTAATAAAATAAATTAAATTTAAAAATTTAATTCAACAAAAATTTAATTAAATAATTAAATAATAAAATTATTTAATTTTAATAAACTAATTTATTAATTTTATTGTTTTAAGAAACAAAACAAAAATACTATCCAATACATTTGAAATTGTTTTCCAATAGATATTTTACGACTATTATTAAATTTTGAGAAAATTAATAATTTAAACCCTAAATTTCCTACGCTGTTTAGAAAAATTTAATTGTATTTAATTTTATGGCAAATTTCAATAGGATGGAAGAGTTTTTTTTGTACACATACCTCAAAATCATTGGTTCGCTTATTTTTGGTTTTCGCTTCAAAAGATCATCCACTACACTTTTCAGATTCTCTTTCAATTGTGGTGTACTCATATTGAGCTGAAATTTATATGGGTTATAATATTATAATCAAGTTAATATTATAGTAATTAATAATCAAGTTTATGATTAACTCTATTAAAGTTCCAAACGTTCAAATTGAATTTAAATATGGAATTAATTTAATTTAAATTAAATTACATTAAACTAAATTTTCTTTATTACTATGTACCTAAAGTTCCGAACGTTCAAAAAAACGACACATTTTTTAATACTTCCTTCAAATTTGAATTTAAATTCATTGAAATTTTTTACAAATTAAATTTTTTTTATTACTATGTTCCTAAAAATTCGAACTTTCAAATGGACGAAACTTCTTTTCATACTTCATTAAAATTTGAAAGTTATTAAAAATATTTTTTTTTTAAATAAAAGAGTAATTTTCAGTTAAATAATTATTTTTATTTAGTTTTCATTTTATGGAAGTAATTTTTGAGAATAAAATACCTATAGAAAATACTTCGTTCATTTAAACTTTTAAAAACTTTAAGAGAATTATTACTTCTTTAAGGTAAAAAATAAAATATTACTTCACGTAGAAAAAAATTATTAATTTAATAAATTTAATTAATTGAATAAAGTTTATTAATCCAATTAATTTAATAATTAATTTCTTAAAACTTTTGCTACTTAAGAAACTTTCTCCAATACCAAAATAGTAATTTTGAAAATAATTTTAAAAAAGAAAAGTACAATTGCAAACGTTCAGAATTTGAGAGAAATTTGAAAGTAAAATTTAAAAGGATTTAATTTAATTTAAAAGGATTTTTTAAATCGGCTCTAAATTTATTCTAAAAACAGAAAATTAATTTGTAAAAATTAAAAAAGCATTTTTCATTATACTCACTCTACCGAAGGGAACTTCACAATGACCAAAATCAGTATAGTTCGGATTGCCCGTACAAGTGTATCTAATACCATGCAAATGCTTATATATTAAAGCATTAAGATCATCTCCAAGAGTTCCTGAAATAATATATACATATATCATTTTTATACTTTTATTTTAATTTTTATAATTCAAAATAATAAATCTCTTCTAAATATTCTAACAAAAATTCACAATTAATTTTTAAGCTCGTTACCTTGTTTCAACGTTGGGAACTTCAATTTCAAAACACCCTTTATGGATAATATATGTGAGAGCATTTGGGGATGAGCAATAACATCGTCATAATCAGCAACATTCACTTCTCCAATCTAAATAAAAATATAATAAATAAATACATGAAAATAAAAATACAAATAGAAATAGAAATCAAAAAATACAAATAGAAATACAAATAAAAATAGAAATGCATATTAAGAAATATTTTAAAATTAGAAAAGTACAACCTTTATTAAGCGAACGATTTCAGGACCAATTACAATATGTGCACCAGCATTTCGAGCCTCTTGCTGTTGTTCCGGTGTGCCTGCAATTGCCATAATTGTTCGGTGTGCTTCGAGTTTAAAACTGTGAGGGATAGAAACTAAACTGTTGAATGTATTTAGTTTTTTAGATTTGCTAGGACCCTGTAAAAAATAATTTTCTATTATAATTATTTCTACGAGAACAATTATTATCACAATTCACAACATATATTATTAACACAATTATTAATTTAGATAATTATTACTTTAGTTTGTTTTTCAAAACTTACTCTACTCGTCTTGTCGCAATTTTAGAAAATTATTACCTTCATATTGATTTCGAAAACAGCTGTTAATTTCGCATCGGGAATATCATAAACAGTGGGATGAAATACTTCACGATTACATTGTACAGCTTCTTCGAAGGAATACGTTTTCCATGTGTAGTATTTTTGAATCCAAACATTGTCTGGAGAAACTCGATTATCTGCCAAAGGATACTTGTGAACATCTATAAGTTCTGCTTTACTATAAAATAAAAATTTACTTCTTAATATTTACAATCAGGATAAATAAATAATTAATTAAAGTCCTTCCCAAACAGAAATAATATTCCTAAAGTTTCGAAAGTAACGACATTTTTATTACTTCTTTTAATTTTTTTTTATTTATTATATTTCTATTATTATTTTTTTATTTTATTTTAACATTATTATAACTTTATTACTTCTTTTAATTTAAATTTTATTACAAACTGATTTTGTTTATAATCCGAAAAAATTCATTTTTAACTGAATAAATGTTCAATTACAATATTTTACATTTCAGTTAGGTAATTTTTTTAAATATTGGAAAATGTCCCTAATGTTTTCAACGTTCAAATGAAAGAAAGTTTTTTTATTTTTCCTCATCTAAATTTAAATTTTATTTTAATAATATTGTATCAAGTATTAAAGAAAGTTATAAAGTTCAAAAATGTTTAATTTATGTTTTTGATTTTCAACAGTCAAACCTGTCGGAATGCAACTTTATTTAAAAAAATTTTTTGTAGTAAAAAATGTTCAATAAGAATTATTTTCACTTAAGTTTCAGAATATTGTAAAAATATTAGAAAATTGAATTAAATAGAAAAATTAATATTTGTCCAATTAATTGTTCAAAATATTTTCATATCAATTAAATTTTTCCTTCATTTCAACGTTTAGAATTTTCTGGAACTTAATTAAAAAAAAGGATATTTCGTTCGTTTGGAACATTCAAAACTTTAAGGAAAGGAGAGATAATTGAAATATTACACTTACACCTTTTTCGGTGGCTTTTTCAATTCCTTTGATCTTTTTGCAGCAATATTTCTTAGTTTTTGCTTTAATTTTCTTTCCCTCGTTCCTATTCTCAAGGCATAATTTCGATTTTGAAGCAAAAATCCACCATAAATACTGGGTTCTACTGCTACTTTAGACAATGATGAAAGCATTGAACTTATAAATTGTCCTAAACACAAAAATTATATGTAATGTAATTATATACATTCTTATATTTTAAATACAATTTATGAAAAACATATTAATTTTGTAATCTAAAATTACAAGGTATTTCTCATTTTTAAGGTTATATTCCTCACGTCATGAAAAATATAAATAAGTAAATAATTGCAAAGAGATATAAATCAGTAAAATACAATTTTGAGAAATTTCATACCTTAATTGACATTTTACACGCATAATTATTAAATTATTGTATAAAAATAAGAAAATATTATACCTCTTAAATAAAACATGATGAACACTCTCTGATGTAAACAAGTTCAGAAACTGAACGTGGTGGGGACGACCCACGTTTTGAAGCAAGAATTGTTTCCTAAAGTCACCACCACAAACAAAAGTGCACTTCACTGAACACAATTTTTTTTCAATTTTTGTCAATTTAAACAAAAACAATGTCACGAAACATACAGCGAATTATTTAATCTTCAATCGACCGAAATTATCACAAACTCAACGCCCAAAAATAATAAATCGAATTAAGCAAAATTTAATTAATTCCACCAATTTGCTGCGAAATGAGTCAAATATTTTCTTAATTATAATTTAACTTTGGAGTTGAATCTGTGATAACAAAATTTAACTTCTCGATAAGGAGTTAAAATCTACTAAAAACGTATTATTTCGTTCGGACCGAATTCAGAGTTATTTTAAACCTCTGAATAATTTTATTTTTAACAATAAATTAGGGCAGGGGGGAAGGGAGGGCGTAATTACCAAAAGTTGATTGTTTTAACAACAATTTTTTAAAGTATTTTTTTTATAGAATGTTTTTTAATTTTAAATTTCATAAAATGTTTGTATTTTTATATTTTATTACATATAATATATTATTTTATATATAATATTATATTAATACTCAACATTAAATTTGCAAGACAAAAAATCAAATTAAATCAAATTAACTTAACAAACAATCTGTTTGATAAGTAACAAATTAAAAAATTTAACTCTTTGAGTTTCAATCGATGAATAATATCACTGATTCAAATTTCAAAGAGTACAATATAGCGGCACAAAGAGAAAGAAGAATAAGAAAGAAAATGTGTAGCATACAAATATTCACAGATAAAAAAAATGCACGATTTCCCTGCCTACAGATTTCTGTACAAAAAACGAAAAAAGTATCTCATTCATACAAAAAAAGCTATTCCTACCTACTTCTTGGTCTATATATTTCAAACCTAATTTTTATTTTCACAAAACACTCCACGATTCTCTCGCATTCCACTCCGGTGCAAAAATTCCTATTTCTAGGGGTTTGAGGGGCACGTTAGGCTCCCATACGTCCCGGGACGCACCCGTCACCTGAGCTCAAAATTTTGTATTGTGTAAACAGAAGACAGAAATAGAAGAAAAACAGAAATTAAAATTTTGTATTTACACGAAATTATTTTTAAAAAAAATTTCGAATGCATGAATTCCGAACGTTCAAATGAACGAAATTTATTTATTTCTTCTTTAAAATAAAATTTATTTCAGAGAAATATTACGACACGAGTAAAAAAAATCAGTTAAGTTTCTAAATATTAAATTTAAATTTTTAGTTTTTACTCTAGTAAGAAATTTTCGAAAATATTTTTAATGAACAACATTTTGCTCTTTTGAACGTTTAAAACTTGTGGATCGTTGAATTTTTAAAAAATACTTTCAACAATTAAATAGAAAAATTAGAAAAATTATCAATAAATTTATATAACTGTAATAAATAATTAAGAAAATCAATTACTCTTTTTAAAAAATAATTCTTTATAGTAAACAAGCGTTAAAATATTCATTATCTACTGAATTAAATTAAATGAATTGAATATTGAATTATAATAAAGTATTGAATTAAATTTGAATAATAAAATAATAATAAATTTTCGAATAATAAAAGATTTTAAAAAATATTTTAAATTCCTAAATTAATTAAGAATTAATTTAAACATTGGAAAAATAATTTCATGTAAATGACAAACAAAAAAACATAATAAAACATTGACAAATATTACTTTTTGTAATAAAGAATAACTACAAAATAATAAATTTTGTCAATGAGTGTCACTATATTGTTAAAGAGTTCCTTCCCTGTTTTAAAGAGTTTTCATCATTTTACGGTTTTAATATGAAGTTATTTACGTTTTCAATAAAATTTTGAGAAAATAATTCACAAATTATTTAAGGGGTCATCCATATATTACATTATACCTAAAGGGTCAAGGGGAGGGGGCGGGAATTAAATTATTTATATAGCAGCCTGTAGAAAAAACGGCGCTATTTTATACAACAATTTGTCGCATGGCGGAAAATGATTGCGAGCATTAAAAAAAGGGTAAAAATCTGTGACGTAATATGCGGACAACTCCTATAAATTAAAAATAAAAAATATTTCAAATTCCCAAATTAATCTACTGAGATTAATTAATTTAATATATCCAATAAATTAATTAATCCAGTAAAATTAATTTTTATTGAGAAAAATTGTCTCACGATTTATTTAAAACAGAGAAGGTTTTATAAAATAAAAATCGACTTGCCAAAATACCAAAATACGTCCGGATGGGGTTCTCACATCATTCCTGGAACAATCCTGCGAAGATATCTGCAGCAAACTTCGATGAACTTTGCTTTGATTTTCTTTCTGGAGTAGCTTCGAAATTCTTCTTCTTTTTCTTCATCGCCAGGAAACAAACACTTGTAACACTTTTGCCATGTCCTTTTTAATTACAAAGGCCTCACAATTTGAACTGAAAATAAAATTTTTATTAATTTTTAGAGAAGGGATAAATTTACGAATTCGGGAATATTATTTTCTAAACGTTCTAAATAGTTTTAGACAAGATTTATCTATATTCCAGAATTTAATTTATTTTTTAATTAGCAATAATTAAATAAAAAAATTGTTGCTTTTTTTTAATTTTGTACAAGAAAATAATTAAGGAAGAATCTGACGGACAGTAAAAAATAACTTTTGTCCAATGCGTTATAATTTTTAATTTAAAAAAGACAATTTAAATTTTAAATTCATTTTAATAGAAGCAGAAAGAATTTAAGTTTTCAACAACTTAAACAATTAAAAGTTGCATTTGCACAAAAATTACAATTTACCGTCAATGAGAAATATTCGTTAAATTTTAGGTTATTTTACCTAAATCGTTTCTTATTGATAAAAAAATTGTAATTTTTATTCAAGAGCAACTTTAAATTGTTTAAAATGTTGAAAATTAAATTCTACATGCTTTTATCAAAATGAATTTAAAATTTAATTTGCCTTTTTCTTTTAAATTATATACGGAATTGAAATATTGAACTAAATTTTGTTCCGATTTTGAAAAATTCCCGTGTTAAATTATATATTTTTTGTTTAAGAATTTTTTTTAATTTTTGAGGTTTTAAATTGTTTTTTGTTTGATTATATTTTTTGTCTATAGACAAAAAATATAATCAAACAAAAAACAATTTATAACCTCAAAAAAAATTCTTATAAGAATTTTTTTTAGAGGTTATAAATTGTTTTTCGATTATTTAAAACATTGTTTTCAAAATATAATTTAACAATGTAAAAGCGAAAAATATACTTACACTTTGACAAAATTTCCGCCTCCTTTGTTGATATCACACACTCTCTTTTTTTCGACTTGGTCTTTTTCGTTCAGTCTTCAAATCACCAAAAACCTGTAAAAAACAAAGAAAATAATGATTAGCATTCATATGATTCGACAATTTTTCAGAAAAATGATAATTTTCCATCATTTTCCTTTGTTTCCGTATAAATTTTCAACAAAAGACAAAATGTCCGCCATGCATTGTTGGCGATAAAATGCTCTATTTTGCACATTTTTACGACGTTAGTCTTCATTATTTGCGAAATTTTTTATATTCAATTATTATTCTCATCGAGTATTACCACTATAAATAAATAAATGACGAAAAATCTCGAAAATATTACCAAAAAGCACTCACTAAACATGTTAAAGCCTGAATGTGGAATCCGTTAACCGACAGGAATGAACAGGCAAATTGCGCGAAAATTGCAGTGTTGCCAACTTACAAACTTCTCTTCTTCTACTGTTGGCATTGGAGAGAATTTGAAAATACCTCCGTCCCTCAGCAAATCAGACGCGAGGAATAAAATGTCCACGAATCGAATGCGTTTGTCGATACTGTAGAATACTTTCTACTGAGACTGTACTTTAGCGTATGATGAATTTTTCTTTTTTTCGCTATTTTACGATATTTTCTATTCTACTTTACAGAAAATACAAAATCTGACAATGCAATGCATATTTGTCGAAAGAAATTACTGAAATAGTGATAAATTTTAATGATTTTAATAAAGTTGAGAATTGTCGGAACGTGTCGAAACTTGTAAGCTCAGTTTGTCATCTCATGAATTATCTGAACAATCTTATTCACTTTTTACTTCTTTTTACATATAGATAAACGTTAAATAATGAAAACTAAGACCTATCTCGATCTAACTCTACTAATTGTAACAATTAATTAAACAAACATTCGACAAGAAATTGATTTTAACAATGAATCTCTATCCGACTTCGGTCTATGAATAATTAACATAGAAAGGAAACTCTTATTCCATTAGAACGTGCGCCCCTTGCGGCGGAAATTGAAACTAAGTTGTAATATGGACCAATGGCTGCGCCATTGTACATACCAGTACATACAGTAGGCTATTGTATAGTGAATTCTTGTCAAGAAATGTTACCGGAAAAACAAGAAACAAGGTGAGGTCAAAAAATACAAAGACAATCTGTCTTTAAAGACATTATTTTCATTATTAATAATGCACTTTGTTACTATATGTAGATTATCAATAATTTCAGATTAAAAGTTTGTGTAGCTAGTCTTTTAGAAAAAAAAGACAAATAGTGGTTCATCGCGTGGAATTTTGGCCCGTCACGCCAAAATTTTGCCTAAAGTAAAAATAACTTTTTGCTTATCGAAGCTTCAACTGTGTTTTACTTGTGTGACGTTTGTGTAGTGAGATCACCATGCGATCATTATGACAGATCACTGTTCACGTCGTCTGAAGGATATCGCCTTTTGTCGAACAATCTCTTCTAGACGACTCCAAAAGGTGGTTTACACTTTGCGCAATCATGAGAATGGACTGATTTTCCGAGCCAAAAGTGCCTCGTAAACGAGAAAACATTTAATTATCAATATTTCGATCGAGTGTCAAAATAAGCAGTAAACATGAAGAAACAATTTTTTCGAGTAAAACAACTGGCGGATCAGACTTTTTCCAGGTAATTACTCATAATAATCAAGGCCACATTTCCTTTTAAGTCTTGTATTTTTTCCTTTTTTAGTTTTGTTAGAAGTGTTTATTTAGACTCAATTTAGATACTTTGATAATCACCTGCTCTTTTTTTCTCATTTAAATTTCTAATTTTTCCATTAATAATCATTCACTATGGAATTGTAATTAAAAAATAGTGACAAATCGTTTAAAAATACAGCAGCATTTAAAAATAATATTGCATATTTATCTATTGGCATAACATTGTTTTATTAATAATTATAATTTGTACCTTCAACTATAATTACGATGAAAATTAAATATTTCTTTAACCTACATCAACTTGTAAACAAATGTTATTTTCGTAAAATGTCACGTATTTTAATGTAATATTAACAATTATAATTTATTCTATTTGCTTTAATTTAGAGTAATATTTAAACTTTGACAATGACTGAAATGAAACAATCATATCCAATTTATTGAAATCAAAGTTCATTTAGTGATAATTTTAAAATGGAATTTCATTTAACATTCTTTCAAACATGATTTATAATTAATGCATTAAAGATTATTAAACGTTTTTTTATTTTATATTTTTTAAGGCAATAAACAATTACAAAATTTAATATTTTTATTGGATTAGATAATTTTTTTCGAATCAAAGTAAAATTGAGTAATTGCAAATTTAGAATTAATTCCTTTATATTTTTTAATTGCTTTTTTAATTTTGAGTAATTAGTAGTTTTATTAGTTAAATAATCTTTAACGTCCGAGATCCTTTATAAATTAAGGCAAATTAAACGAAAACATTCGGACAATGAATAAAATATTTATTTACTCCAACGTTTCGAAATCTAAATGATTTTGTAGTTTTATTAAATTACGAAAATTTTGAATGAAAGGTTAATGTCTTCAAGGATGGAAATAAACTACTAGAGATAAGAATAGACAAACGTGTATACAGTTCATATATTCCTAATAATGTTACAAATATGCGTTATACTCTTCTTTTTTTTAATAAATTCTAATTAATTTAATCTGTATAATTATCATTTTATTTATAGTCGCAGTTTCATTTTAGAGTTGAAAATTCATTTAGAATCTGAATGCATATTATTTTCTGACACTATATCAACGATAATCCAATTAATCTATTTGAATGTAAGAAGATAGTAAATAAAATTGACTTAAAGTCACTTTATCAACAATAATATGATATTTTTTTTATTCTATCGATACAAACAGAAAATTAATAATCGCGTTTAACTTTCATTTTAATTTATATAAAAATATTTTACCGATTAAAATTTAATTGTTATCATTTTTTACTCTTTTTCAATTTGACCGATTTTATATTTTTCCATCTGAAGTTTTTATAATTTTTATGGTAAAAAAATTAGTCTCTATATTATTACAAAATTGTGCGAGATGCTGAAAATTTTTTCACACACAGCAAAATTATCTATCGAGTATGTCAAATTATCGGAATTACGATAAAAAAAATGATAAGTACGTATAGCTAACAATTTGTGATGAATGTAAATATTGTATGTCGTATTTTTATCAATTTATTTAATTACTAATAAAAACGATAAAACTTAAAAAATTCGAAATAGATTTAAATTTTAAGCTGAAAATTAAATTTTAATTACTAATATAAACATTAAAAAAATTCAAAAAAAATTTATTATTTTAATAAATTTTAATAAATAAATATACTAGTAATTATTAGAAATTTATTCTATATTGAGTTGTTTCATTCTCAAAATTGTAAATTTTTTCAGAGCTGGAAAAACTGAGGTATTAACGGACGATTTGCAAGCAGCGGATAAACATGTGGAACAAATCAGAACAGCTCTTAATGGATTAAGTAAACGTTTTGGAAATCTACCAAACCAAGCAGTGGCCCAAGAAGGTGTTTACAAAGAAAAGCGTCTGGTTTGTTGATATTTTTGAATATTAATTTTCCATTGTTATTACTTGGGAATTTAATTTATTTCTTCTTTCTTTTTTTTTTTAGAAAAAATGTCCAGAATGGGTGCTAGGACAAACAATGCTGGAGAGTACTGGCGACGAGAGTCTTCTCAGTTTTGTAATGTCAGAATGTGGACGGGCGCAAGTTGCATTAGCCGCTGAAACTGTCGATCATGAATCCAAAGTGGAACAATATGTTGCCGCTCCGCTGTTGCGCATTTTAGAAACAGATGTGCCAAATATTATAAAATTTAAAAGAAATTTACAGCGTTTAATTTTGGATATGGATAGTGCGCGAACGAGATATCATCAAGCGAGTAAACATAATGCCAGTGGTACGTTCCTTGTAATTAATTTCTTGCAATTAATTTATGAAATTCGGAACGTTTTTTAAAACCGAAAAATCAGGAAAGAATTTTTTTTCTCGTTAAATTTATCTCTAATTTTCATGTGCGTAAATTTTTGAGGAATTGATATTTAATAATTGTGAACCAAAAGTCAATTGCTCAAAAATAACATGAATTTATAGAAAAAATAATGTAAATCGTCACATTGATTTTTTTTTCGTTTTCAAAAACGTTGTAGCCTTTGGCGTCATAATTAATTTTTCCTAAAGATATAAATTTTGACGAATTGATAAATTAGCAAAATTTTGAATTCACAGGAACGGGAGCGACGAAAGTTGATAGTCTAAAGGATGAATTGGAGGAAGCCGAGGCGAAAGTTGAACAATGTCGAGATCACCTTGCAGCTGAAATGTTTCAGTTAATGTCTAGAGAAACTGAACTTGCCCAAATTATCATTCAATATGTAAAACTTCAAAGAGCATATCATGAGAGCATGCTGCATTGTTTAGAGGATCTTATCCCGGGACTTGAATGCTATATTAGTAAGTTTACAAATAGCAAATTCTATTTTGAATAGAAAAAAGAAGTTTTTTTAAATTGAAATTTATTTAGATTTTTTTCAGTAAAATTCTATTAAATATTATTTCAGTTAGTGATTTTCTTTTCATTTACAGACTAGAGAAACGAATTGTTAATTAAAATAAAAAGGGAATTTAAAATGTATCGTTGAATGTTTCAGATAACAACGAAATGAAACCCGTTTACGGTTATTCTCTAGAGGAACATTTACGAGTTACAAATAGAAAAATAGCATTGCCGATTCAACTTTGCGTCTCGGCGTTACTAAGGCTAGGAATGGAGGAAGAAGGACTTTTTCGAATAGCAGGTGGTGCTTCAAAACTTCGACGAATCAAGCTCAGTTTAGACGCTTGTTGTCTTAATTTGCCGACTGCTCTTGAATACAAGGATCCACATGTGATTGCTGGAGCTCTAAAGTCTTACCTTAGAGAGTTACCTGTTCCTTTACTTACTTTCGAGTAAGTATTTCATGTTCTTTTGTTTGCTTCATAAATGATGAAATTACCACGAATTCTAATACAAAACCTTCAATTTTTCTGTTTCTGACAATAATTTCTTTTTATATAACTTAATTCTTGAAGAACTAACTTATCATAAAATTATTACATAAAAATTATTTAATGAATAATTTTACTTAAATATTTCACAATTAATTGAATTTTAAAAGAGTTTCGTTTATAATTTTCATAAATAGATGAACTTCAAAAGGTTTTAATTTTAAATTTTATAAAATTTCAATTTTCAATAAATTTCATTAGAAATTTTAAGGAACTTGGATTATTGAAAAATTTTAATAATTCAAATTCTTCTGAAATTAGTTACATTTTTTAATTTATATATTTAATTAATTATTAAAACTAATGGATTTATAGAAGAATTTTAGTTCAAAAAACTAAAAGACATTGAATTTTAGAGAAAAATTTTCAAAAATTCAATTATTTTCAAAAGTAATAAAATTTTTAGCAGACATTCAATTATGTTCAAAAATTTTTTAAATTCTCGTAAAAATTTCAATTATCTTCAGAACTAATAAAATTCTTCTCCGAAATTCAATTATTTTCAAAAATATTAATAAAACTCTTGGCAAAATTTCAATTATTTACAAAAATTTTCCTCTATTCAATGATTTTCAACATCTACTATTTTAAAAAAGTTTTCCAAAAGAATTCAATTATTTAAAAACAAATTTAATAAAATTCTACGCAAACATTTAATTATTTTCATAAATAATAAAAATTTCACAAGAATTCAATTATTTACAAATTTTTTATAAATTTCTTAGCATTAATTCAATTTATTTCGAAAAAATTAATAAAACTCTTATCAAAATTTCAATTATTTACAAAAATTTATCTCAATTCAATGATTTTCAACATCTACTATTTTAAAATATTTTTGCAAATGAATAATTCAATTATTTGAAAAAAAATTAATAAAATTCTACGTAAACATTCAATTATTTTCATAAATAATAAAACTCATTGCTGAATTTCAATTATTTTTAATACAATTTTAATCGAAAAATGTAATTATTCTTAATCTTTTATTAAAATTCTTCGAAAGAATTTAATTAGGTATTTAAAAATTTGATGATAAAATTCTTTATGAGATTTAAGAAACATTTAATTATTAAATAAATTATTTATTTTTAAATATTTAAATAATTGAATTCTTGTAAAATTTTCTAATAAAAATTGATTTAAAAATGAATTTTAGATAATAATTGAATATTAAAAGCATTAAAGCGTGGATTTTTAGAAATAATTGAATTTTGAAAAGGTTTCAAATTTAAATCTTTGAAAATTTAAATTCTCCATACCTTTAACTAACAATTATGTAGAATTAATTTTTTTAAAAAAGTTTAATTCAATTTTTTCTTGAAATTATTTGAAGTTTTTTTTCTAATGTACATTTAATTAAAGAATTTTCGAATAATTGAAATTCCACGTAAAATTGAATTGTGAATAAATGGATTTGAAAATTCTCAAAGAACTTTTTCAAAAATTATTAAAAGTATAATTGATTTAAAGAAGAATTTTAGTTAAAAATTGTAGAAAATAGGTAATAATTTGAATTGAAATGATGAAAATAATTTTGCAGAAGTTACAGTAAAAATAAAATAATGATTTTAGCACTCGGACACCTTTAATTTTTATAAAACATGAAGAAATTGATCACTCCGAGTCTTCGACTCGGAGCAAAAATATTTTTATAACAAAATAAAAAGTATAATAAAAGTATTATAAAAGTATTTTTATAACAAAATACTTTTATAAGTTATTTAATTTTAAAAAGATTTGAATTTGAATGTTTTGAAGAATTTTAATTCCTTTGAAAAAATAATAATGATTAAATATTTATTTTAAATAAAACTATTGATTGAGTTTCGTCTGTAAATTAGGGAAGAACAAAATTAAATTTCTGTGGCAACCCTGAATAAGAATAATAAGAACAGTAAGAAAAATAATAATAATATTAATAATAATAATAACAATAATAAGAAAATAGTAATGAGCCTAATTCTCGAGATATTATTCATCATATATAATAAACGTATGTAAAATAAAATGAAAGTGCAAACTGACTGAAGAGACAAGGCGCAAATTCAATTGAATTGTCCTTGATAGTGATTTAGTGGTTTGCTCAACTACCCAATCCAATGTGCTTAACGTTTTAAGCGCAACTAATTTAATTTAGTGGAATAACTGTTTCTTCATTACAATTCACACCGCGATGCAATAGCGAAATTGATAAAATTGAAACCGTATAAAATTACTTTAAAAACATAATTATATAATTGATAATTTATTCATTGAATATTTTCAGTTTATATCCCGAATGGATGGCAGCTGCTAAAGTAGTTCAAAACGAAGCAAGGCTGAAAGCTCTCTGGGAGGTGCTACACAAGTTACCGCCGGCAAATTTAGAAAATTTAAGGTTCCTAATAAAATTTTTAGCAATGCTGACCAAAAATCAGGATATTAATAAAATGACCCCTCATAACATTGCCATTGTCATTGCTCCAAATCTTATCTGGAGTCCACCCGAGGATTTGAATCCCATGGCGTAAGTTAATACGAAAAATTTATTCAAGATTAGAAAAAAAAATTATAAATATTTAATTTTTTAGATAAAATAAAATATTGAAAAATTTAATTTAATTAGTAAAAAATTTCAATTTTATTAGTCGAAAATTATTTTTTGCAGGATGGAAATGAGTACAGCTAACAATTCTAGTCTTATAGTAGATCAGCTGGTAACATACGCCGACTGGTTTTTCCCCGGCGAAATAGATTTCGATCGCGATTTAGATGTAGGAATTGTGAACGGTTCGGAAAATCAGGTTGTTGGCATGAGACGTTGTATGTCGAATAGCAGTCTCAGCGATTTGGGAGAGAGTCCACCGCAGGGTAGTCCAAAGCCTGCGACACGTCGAAAAAATAAACCGGCACCAATTCCACCGTCTTTCACACCCGACAAACACGAGAGAAAATCTGACGATAAACCACCGCCCGCCCCAGACAAACCGCCAAGACCCCTCGCAACAGCAACATTAAATCGTGTCACTTATAAAGCACAAAAGCACGAGGTTAACGCCGAATTAATAAATCCATCCAATAGAAGTGGAGAGAAAATTGAAAAAAATTCCGAGCGCAATATTAAATCCACAAACTGTGATGTATCGACGAAATCCATTGTTGCTAATCAAACGGAAAACATTGAACGTCCAGTTGAAACGCGCAAGGAACAACAGGAAACAACAATTTCTACGAAAGCAAATTATCAGACTGAGAAAGTTGCAGAAGAATTGAAAAGTGTTCTTCCCATTGGTTTTGAGGCTCTTGTCAAAACGGAACAGGATGCTAATGTTGAGTCTGAAAATTTAGATAATAATTCATCGAAAGTGAAAACGGTGCCTAGTGAAAAGACTTGTCCAACAACGCAAGAAAGGCGACCCATTCCTGTAGCAGCGCCAAGAAGCATTACAAACATATCGTTACAAACGACAGGTAAACTAGAAAAAGAATATTAATTTCTGAAAAATTTATATTTTTTAAAATTCTCCACCAAAGGAAACCTTTAAGTACTTTTTGTAAAATTTGCACCATTATTCACGACTGTTTTATTACTTAATTTTGAATCATTAAAAAAAGAAATTAAATTTAATAATATAATTGACAAAATTGATCACTCCGACTGAATTAAAATTAAAAACAGGCCTCAGATAGTATGACTTAAAACATTTTTCTACTATTTAAAAAAAAACGATTCTTCTCAACTTAGTTTCAAAAAATGCGATTTTTTCGACTTTTTTCCAAATACTGCAATAAAATACTCTTTCTTGTATAGAAAGTAACTTACTTCGATTTTTCGAGTAAAAAACAACTAGTCAAAACTTTGAAAAAATTTTTAACAATTTTTTTCGGCAATTAAATTATTCAAATACATTATTATGCTTTTAAATAATCGAAATTTTGCAAAATTGTATTCAAAATAATTGATTATTTTAAAAGTATTTTAATAGAATTTAAAAAAATTAAATTTCGAAGAATTTTAATTGAAAACTATGAAAAATAATTAAATTCTCAAAAGTTTTAATCAAAAGTCTTCAATAATGACAATTTGAAAATAAAAAAAAAATGAAAATTAACTTTAAAAATTATGTTACAATATTTTTTAAAAGAATAAATCTTAGAATTTATTTTCACTATAATATAATATTTTCAATTACATATTTCCAACAATTCAAATATCTAAAATAAACAATTGCACTAAAATTTAAAAAAAAATAATTTTTTAGAACAATCATTTTTAAAAAAACGGTCATTTTCAAAATTTTTTAATAGTAATTATTTTAAAAAAGTGATTATTTTTTTTAAATTCTTTAATGAAATACAATTATTAGCGAAAAATAGCATTACAGGATTTTTAAAATATTAATTAAAATTTTTCTATCATAATTTTTAAAAACTCAATTATTGTAAAAATTTTGAGAAATCATGCATTTTTACAATTGTAATTAAAATTATTTAAAAACTCTATAATTTTTGAAATATTTTTCATTTAAATTATTTTGAAAAATTCAATTATTTTCAAAAAAAAACTTGTACGAAATTTAAATTATTTTGAAATTGTTCAATTTGTAATTAAAAAATTTATTATCTTTTAAGAATTAAGTTAAAAATATTTTTAAGAAACTAATTATAAAAATTTTTTGATTGCAATTATTAAGAAATCAATTGTTTTAAATATTTTCGATTACATATTTTTTAAAATAATTCATTTTATTAATTTTTTTGGTAATAGGTAACTAATTATAGTTAGAATTATTATAAAAAATTGCATTCTTGTATTTAGATAATTAAATTCTCGAAAAACTTTAAGAGAAGCAGTAAAAATAATTAATTTAGAGAAAAAGTTTATTTTTGAAAATTGAAGTTTTGTATTTAAATAATTGAATTCTTGGAAGAACGTTCGAGAAATTATTAAAAATAATTGATTTAAAGAGGAAGTTTATTTAAACATTTTTGAAAATAATTGAATTTTTAAATAATTGCAGTTTATAATTTTTTTAAATAATTGAATTTTTATGTTTAAATAATTGAATTCTCGAAGAACTTTCGAGAAATTATTCAAAATAATTGATTTAGAAAAGAAGCTTACACTACAGTCGCAAGTTTTGAAAATAATTGCGATTTTCAGAAAATTTGAAATTTAAATTTAAAAATTGTTAATTCTTGCGGAAAAAGAAATAACAAGTATTTAAATATTTATTTAATAGATTTGTTAAAGTTTTGAATCATTGAATTTAAAAATCAGTGAAATGTAAGAGAAATGGAAAAAATGTACCTTTTGTAACGACTTTCTTTTGCATTTTAAAGTCGATCTGAGGCCTGTAAGAGCAAAAATTAATTTTAAAATTATAATTGATAAAATCGACCACTCCCAAGTGGATTAAAATGAAAAAATGAAAATACTAATATTAATTTTAATTTTCCAAACAAGATGACATTGTGGAAATGAGAAAAAAACCTGAGATTTCATCAGGATCGGAAAAAAATCACAAACCCGCCATTCCGGAAAGACCAGCTGGTTTAGCACGACCTTCAAGTCTCATAAGGCCACAACCGCGTCACAGTAATGAAAATTTGGATAACGAATCAGGGGTGAGTATTTTAAATTCTTGAACCTACTCGATAATTATTTTTTCTACAAAATGTGTAAATTTTAATTACTTACGAATAATTTGTTTATGTTAAAAATTTACTATTCTTTCCACTAATGACGTAACAAAAGTAATTATTATTATATATATAATTTAACAACAAAGTAACAATATGTACGAAAGAAATATTTAAATACATTGTTATAACAAAATGATTCACTACTGTTTTATAGAATTTATTTACACACAATTAATTTAAGCCTATTTCATGTATTTGAAATTTTAAAAAAATAACTAAAATATACTTTTTTTTGCTTTGATTGGCACTGAAATTTCTCTAATATATGCTTATTAGAAAATTTTTTGCATTTTTTTCTCAAAATAATATTTCTAAAAAATAAGACACAAAGCATCAGTAATCTTGATAGTTCTTGGAGAATTGATCGATAACGAAATCTAGCACGTGGAGGAAACCGTCTATGGCTTTTACGATCTTTCTTTATCTTGAGAAACAATTGAATGGTGAATACGAAAGAAAAGGTAAAAACAATCATTTTCCGCATCGTCGCTTCGAACATCTTGATTACAGCATGTATTCACTGTCATCAACAAAGCAAAGCATACTAATTTCCTTATTCCATAAAACTTTATCAATTATTTATTCACTATTCAAATCAATTCACTCCAAGGCGATTTTCCATCAGGAGATACATTGTTTTTTTTTTTTTTTTATTTTAATTAACTGCGCAACATTTCCTGTAATTTAAGTGCATTATAGGTGGATTATAAATTTTTGTTTAATTCTATTTTTTTCTTTTATTCTACAGCTGCTCACCTTGGAACGAGCGCACATGTATTCGGTGGATAAACAACAGGTCAGTATAATTCAAGTGCGTGGCAACAACAATGCTTTACATTCGGGCCAAAGCAATGGAAATACGGGTTCGAACTTGCAGAGAAGTCCCAGTGTTGGTAGTCGACCGTCGTCCATGTCTCTGTCATGTGATCGTCCGGAGAAACCACCGAGACCAGATGTTCCGGAAACAACCAAGGCACACACGAGGACGAGATCAGAGGGCAATATCATTGACGTTCAAACGCAGACTGACACGATTATTGTCTCTAAATCGCAACAACAACAACAACAACCATCGCCAGCATCCCCAAGGTTTCTACAACGACCGCCAAGACCTCAACCTCCACCGCCACCACCTCCAACTGCTCGGCCTAAATCTGAGCAGGAAAGTACCAATTTGTAGAATTCGTACAGTGCTAGTAATTAGTTTTTAAATTCCTGTTTTTTATATCAAGCTATTATCAAGTCACCCGCTGAAAAATACGTGAACATTGTTTTTATTTTTCAATTGTCTTCTCAAATTCTACTTTTTCTATTGTTGGATTTTCAATTTCCACGTTCCCAAAATTCTGAACTTTCAAAAGAAGGGAATTTATTTCTTTTCTCAATAAATTAAAATTTTATTGTTCTAATTTTGTCTCACATATCAAAAATGTTAACAATAAATTTTCTAAATTTACATTTTTTTTTAATTTTAATTTTTAATTAAATTTGAGTTTTTACTTTTTATTATTTAAACTTTTTATCCTAAACTTTTTCTTATATACTTTTTATTATAATTCCTGGAAATATTTTTAATGAAAAAATTTCTCTCATTTAAAGTTCAAAATCTGTGGATCGTCAATATTTTCACTATGTTTCAAACTTGTTTAGTTATCAAAATTTTAATTTTGTTCAATACTTGAAAGTTTTACGTCAATGAAGTTTACGATATTTATGAACAACAAATATTTATAAAAAATTGAGAGAGAAAAAAATACTTTTTGACCAGAAGACAATATTTTTTATTTACAATTTTTTTTAATTCTTGATCAAGAAAAAATTGTAAACACTTTTTTAGACAAAAATTTGAATTGAAAAATAATTTTTCAGATAAAGTGTTGTTTATATACGTTGTAAATTTACGTTGGTGATGTTTACAAAGTTAATCAACAATTTAGAAGAAAAAATATTTTTTTATTTAAATTTTTCATATTTTTGTATAAAAAATGTTTTGCCTAATTTTATTGATGTTCAAAATCAAAAATAGTATGAAAAATTAATTTAGAAAAGAAAAATTTGTAAAAAAAAAATTTTATTGTTTTTGTAGAGAAAAATATTTTTTTCTGTCAATTAAGTTTCAACGTTTTATAAGTATGATCAATGATTTTGATAAAAAAAATACTTTTTACACAAAAAACAATATTTTTTATTTACAATTTTTTCAATTCTTGATCAAGAAAAAATTGTAAACATTTTTGTGGATAAAAATTGAAATTGAAAAGTAATTTTTCCGCTAAATTGTTGTTTATATACGTTGTAAACTTTCGTTGGTAATGTTTACAACATTTAATCACTAATTTTGAAGAAAACGTATTTTTCAATTTAAATTTTTACATATTTTTGTACCAAAAATGATTTTCATAATTTTTTTATGTTTAAAATCAAAAATAGTATCAAAAAATAATTTAGAAAAGAAAAATTTGTAAACGAAATATTTTATTGTTTTTGTCAAGAAAAATAGTCTTTTTTCTTTCAATCATCATTGTTAATTAAGTTTACAATGTCTTACAAAGTATGATCAACGATTGTGAGAAAAAAATATTTTTTGCGCAGAAAACAATATTTTTTATTTATAAAAATTTTTCTTTTTTGCATATTCTCGAGCAAGAAAAAATTTTTGTAGACAAAAATCGGAATTGAAATATAAATTTTCCGCTAAATTGTTCATTATAAACGTTGTAAATTTACGTTGGCATTATCATAACGTTTATAATTAACAATTTAGAAGTAAAAATATTTTTATTTTTAAATTTTACTTAGGTATTTAAAAAAAAATGTTTTGTATAATTTTTTGCAGTTTAAAATCAAAAATATCGCCAAGAATAGCATCAAAAAATAATTTGAAAAATATATTACAAAATAAATTACATAAATAATTTGCAAAGCAAAACATTTTAATTGTTTTTGTCAAGAAAAAATTTTTTTTTTTCAATTTTTATTTTCAATTATTTTTATCATTAATATTTTTCTTTCAATTGATCATAAACTTTGTGAACTTGAGCGACGTGTAAACTTTACTAACGTAGTTTTTCATCTTATCGAGTGGAATTTTTTCAATTATTATATTTTTATGAAAAATGTAATAATTAAAAATATTTGAATATAAATTAAATTAAGAAATTAGATTAAATTAAATTAAATTACATTACATTACATTAGAAAAAATTACATTAAATGAAATTAAATAGCACAAAATAGTAATACAATAGTACAAAATAGAAAGAAATAAGTAACAAGATATAAAATAGAGTAATTATATCAAAAGAAATATTTATCCAATAAAAGCAAAAATTTTGATTCAATTGAAATAGTAGAAAAAGTAGAAATTGAAAGATAATCACACAAACTTAAGAAATTTTAATTATTTCAACTCTTGTTTATCTGGAGTTGAAAAGAAGAAAAATTGGATTTGTTGCGCTTAGCTTACGAGCCCTTATCGTACCCCTTTAACCGTTTAACAATTAGACTGTGATGTGACAATGGCAGAAGGAAAAATTCAAAAAACAAGTACGAATTGTAATTTTTTTTTGTTTAATTTCTGTTTTGCCATTGTTAGAACTTTTCCTTTAATAAGATACTTGAGTATTCTATATCCTTGTTTTACTATTTAAAACTGAAAACGATTTTGTTATTTAGAAAAAATTTTATTTTCATTTCTTGATGAATCTGAATTATCCTTATGAGATGAAAAAATTTCAAGAAAAAATAAGATGAGAAGGCTCAATACAAATAGTAATAAATTAAAATGTCTATTTATCAATAAGACGTAATGAGGAAAACTTTTTACGAAGAAGTTAAAAATGCCTAAAATAATAGTTTTATTAAAATATTTTGAATTTCAAAATAATTTCATGTTTGATACTCAAAATACTTTGGTTCTTTTTACTTTTTTTCTATTTTTTATTTTTTTTTAATATCACATTGGAATTTTATAGTAAAAATTATTTCTTTTCATTATTAAATAAAATAGGATTTGCAGTGTAGTTTTTAATGGAGAAAAAACTTTTTTAATGCCAAGTATTTTTCTAGCCTAGCAGTTTTTCATATAAATATAGTAAAATTAAGCGACTAGATACAGACAAAGGATATTTTTATCTTATTAATATTTTCAAACGTGTTTTTTATAAGCGCACAACATTTCCATGTGCTCATAAGATGTTTGATATTTTCAACGAAAGTCTTGTAGAGATAAATATAAAAGATTGACAATTTTGTTTTAAATCTGTTAATTAATTACACCGAGAAATAAAAATGCAAAACTATTAGTCAGATTAATTAACAGATGGACAAATTTTCTTTTATAAGATTGTAATTTTTTAATGAGAAGAAAAAAGAATTCGAGTCAATTAGGTTTTTACGAAATCTTATTTGTAAATACTTTTAATTTTAATCAATATAATAATATAAAACAAAGGAACTTATACCGCGATTATATATTATACAAATTTCATAAGACCCCCCGAAGCTTAGGACTTAATTATGAATTTTGTTTTTCAATTGTAATATTTGTATCTACAGGGACATATTTTGAGCGAGAGAAAGAGTGAAAATGAGACAAAGAGAGAAAATGAAAATAGAAAATATTAGTTTTATTAGTTTTTAAACATGTCACTTGTAAAGTAGACGTTTTTTGTTAAAAAATCTCTCATTTAACAAAGAGGCATTATTAATTTTTTATGTTTTCAAAACTATAAATTAAGAGTTTTATTATTCTACAACGAAACAAAATTTTTAATTGTTACAAATTAATCATTATTATTAATATAGGCAGCTTATGTTTTTATCGTGTTAAAAACATTTGTTATAATTTCTGCATTTATTTTATTGGCGTCTTTCTTGCTTAGTATTCAAAAGAAAAAAAAATGTATGAGTATTATTCGGAAAATGGAAAAAAAATAATCTAAGGCAAATTTAAGACTAAGAAAAATCCAAAAAAAATTATGGTGATAAGACCGTTAAACGGTAAAATGTTAATTATATTCGGAATTCAAAAATAAGAATTTTTAGAGAAAATATAGAAAAATACGTAAAATGGCGATTTTTTATCTTGTTATTAAAATCGTTTTTACTAAGAAACCTTATGATTGAATAAAAAAAATGCGTATAGATTGAAGAAAGCTAAAAAATTATTTTTGGCATATATCTAGAATTTAAAAAGAAAAGCTAGAAAGAAGTTAATTGTAAAATGAAAAAGATAGAAAAGTTTAAAATACTTTTCCTTGTGTGAGTGACATTGCTGTTTTTTTAAAACAATTATTTTTGCTGTACCTGGCAACAAAGTTTTTTCAAAACATTTAAAAATTAATTTCCATGATTTGTACTATTTTTCTTGCCAAAACTTTTTTTTTCTAATTTACTTAATTCCAATAGTAGATTTTTACCATTATTTTGAATTTTTGAAATAGTATATTTTTTTAAAAAGTTTTTTGATATGTAAATAATTTTTGCCAGATTGCTTTTCGATCTTGCCAGAATTATACAAAAAAATAATGTAACTAGAGTCACATCAACACATTGCTTTGTTAAAAAAAAGTAGTCTAAATTTGAAAATATTTGCCAACCCCGTTGCCTTTGTAGTAATTAGGAATAATCTTTTTTAAATTGTTAAAAAAATTGACAATCAGTATAAAAAAATTCATTCGTTCTCAAAATAAATTTTCTTTTTACAAAATTCTTTTAACTGTTTTTGTCAGTTAAATTTTTCAAGTTTCTTTAAAAATCTCAAAGTCTTTCCCTAAAATTACAAATAAATACCTACCTAAAAATTCTATTTAATTAATTTGATAGAAATTAAAACTAAAAATAAAAAAAAATTTATAATATCAATTTTTACATTTGAGTTTTAGCAAGTTTAAATAAAAAATTTCTTTCTAATTCAATTGAAATACTTTTTGACAATATTTTTCTTTTATTCCAATTTATCTGTGCTTCAATATAAAAATAAAACTCAAAGACAATGTACCGTCAATAATTTTATGACTGGTATTTCTTTAATATATCATCCATAAAAATTTTATATCTACATACCATAAACGCACTATTTCGCGTTGCCTTTTATATATTTCAAAGAAAAAAGTAAAAATTTGCCGTCTCCAAACATTAAACCTCAATAACTGTCAATATTTTAATTATTGACAATTGAATATTTTAAATAAATAACTGAGCATGCATTTACCTAAGGAAAGCTTAGGCTGTGAGTACAGTGGAGTATTAAAACATGTATTTGTATATAAATAAAACGTTTTACGACAATGATAGAATGTGTTTTTCACGCCCTTTTGAAAAAATTTACATCTTTAATATCAGTAAATTAAAAAAGAAAAAAATTCTTTTTTTATTAAAGAAGAAAAACTAGGAAAAAGCTAAGAAACGCTCAACTAAACAATACAGAATAAAATCTAGAAAGAACTGGGTTGCCATAAATATTTAATTTTTTTTTCCTGATTTCCAGCCTAAATTTTTACTTTTTCTCAGACCATAAAGAATATTCTGATTCACTCTAAAAATTATTATATACTCAAAAAAATTATCTATTACATTTATTTACAAATTTCTCTAATTGTAAAATTAGAAAAAACATCAATAACTTCTATTTTTGAATAAACATTCAATCATTATTATTTTTCCATACGAATGAGGATTCAAATTCAAATTCAAACCTTTTGAAATTAATAACTTTTAAAAATTTTAATGTAAAACATAAAGATATATTTTCTTATTCATAAATTTCTTTATGTTTTATAATAATTTAAATTTCCATAGAATTTTTCAAAAAAAATTTAATTATTTACAAAAATCCTAATAAAATCCTTCGTCAGAATTCAATTATTTTTACAAGTATTAAAATTTCTCAAAAAAATTCAATTATTTAAAAAAATGTAATAAAATACGTTGCAAGAATTCCATTATTTTCAGAAATAATAAATTGATTATTCGGTAATTCATTTTTAAATCAATTTTTATTAGAAAATTCTAGACGAATTCAATTATTTAAATTAAAAAATAAACAATTTATTGAATAATTGAATGTTTGTTAAAATTGAATTCTCATAAAGAATTTTATCAACAAATTTTTAAATAATTGAATTCTTTTGACAAATTTTAATAAAATTTTTAAGAATAATTACATTTTTCGATGAATTCGATTAAAATTTTATCAAAAATAATTATAATCCTGCCATGAGTTTTATTATTTATGAAAATAATTGAAATTTTCCCAAGAATTTTATTCAAGTTTATAAGAATAACTGAATTTCTGTGAAGAATTTTATTATTTATATAAATAATTGAATTTTTGCAACGAATTTTATTCAAGTTTATAAAAATAATTGAATTTTGGTGAAGAATAATATTTATAAAAATAATTGAATTCTTGCGATGAATTTAATAAAAATCTTTTTAAATAATTGATATTTTTCAAAAAATTTTATGAAATTTTGTATTTTAATAAGAATTTTTTTCTAATTTTTAAATATAATTGAATTTTTGCAAAGAATTTTATTAGGTATACTTTTGAAAATAATTTAATTCTTCCAACGTATTTTATTCAAGTTTATAAAAATAACTGAATTTCTGTGAAGAATTTTATTATTTATATAAATAATTGAATTTTTGCAACGAATTTTATTCAAGTTTATAAAAATAATTGAATTTCGGTGAAGAATTTTATTATTTATATAAATAATTGAATTCTTGCAACGAATTTTATTCAAGTTTATAAAAATAATTGAATTCTTGCGATGAATTTTATAAAAATCTTTTTAAATAATTGATATTTTTCAAAAAATTTTATGAAATTTTGTATTTTAAATAATTGAATTCCAGTGAAAATTTTATTATTTATATGAAAATAATTGAATCATTTCGAAGAAATTTACTAAAAATTTTGTAAATAATTGAATTCCTGTGAAATTGTGCCAAGAATTTTATTAAAATTTTTTAAAATAATTGAATTTCGAAGAAGAATTTTATTATTTACAAAAATAATTGAAATTTTGACGAAAATTGCAGAAAATTCAATTTTTTTTAGTACATTTTACTAAAATTCTTTTATCAATCTAGTATTAATGAAAATTGTAAAAATTATTCATTAAATAATTTATAAGTCATAATTTTATGATAATTCTTGAAAAATTAAGTTATTTAAAAAAGAAAGTATTGTCAGAAATAGAAAAAAATTGAAGGTTTTGTATTAGAAATCGTAGTAATTCCATAGTTATGAAGAAAACAAAAAAAAACATCACAATTTAGAGTTTTTTTTATGATTTTTAAAAATTTAATTTTTTCCAGTACTTTTAATAAAAATCCCTGACTTTTCCCTGATTTCTCTGACCAATTTTACTTTCCCTGACTTTTCTCTGAATTCCCTGACCTGTGGCAAGTCTGAAGAAAGAACAAAAAGTAAGAAAGTTCAAAGTGTTTTTTACAATACTTTTATTACACCCAAATACGTAGACAATTTGTGTACTTGTATTAAAACATAGGTAAAGTATTTTCATCAGCAATTTCTTTAGGCGTCAAGCCATCGTTGTCTTTTAAATTCTCAGCCCCTTTTGCCAACAAATATTTGCAAGCCTCAACATGACCGCACGATGCAACATAATGCAATGGTGTTTGTCCCTCTCGATCTTTTGCATTAATATCAGCACCCGCTTCAACAAGACACTTAATAATTGGAACGTGTCCTCTATCAGCAGCCCAATGCAGAGGAAACATACCATTTTCATCATCTTGTAAAATGCATTTGGAATTTTGCGATAAAATTTCACCAACTTTCACTTCATTACCATCTTTAACCCAATCGAAAAATGTTTTATCAATGTCACGCAATTCCTCATCGGTATTTGGTAATCTACTAATTGCTACCCAAGTTTGTGAATTATCATTAAATTCCTCCTCCCAATCAGGATCAACTTTACCAACAGCACGAATATAACTTGCCATCGCCACTTCCCGACTCATTTCTCCTAAAGCTTGCCATGCCTCCCATTTATGTTTCGCTTGCATTTGATACCAACTTGGTTTAGATGTGTCACATGGACCACAAGTCGCTTGCTTATAAAGTCCATAAAATCCAAGAAGTTGACCGGAATCTAGTTTTGAAACGAGATTTTGTAAATGACGAGCTGCCTTATCGAACGTCTCCTCCAATTCGGTTGACTGGAAAATATCCCCTTCAGCCATTGTTTAAAAATTATTTTAATCTAAAAGTCGCCTTGTTCTGTTGTGCTTACTGTAAAATGTCTGTTATTAAACTTATGCTTATCGACTAAAGCTTTATTTCGACTTTCTTCGTTCTGAAATACTACTTTTGCTTTACCAGACGATATACCATTTGGCTTATAAAATTGTGCCACTTTCAGAACACGACCGTACTTGGAGAAATATTGTAATAATTCCAAGCTTGACATTGCCCAGCTAACTTTTCTTACATACAACAATGACATCGTTGATTAATTCAAGAAACTTTTCGAATATCCAATAATTGAATTGTATGATCTTGCATTAATTCGTGAATACTTATATCGGCATCGGCAGCCAATTCAGTCAGTGGTATTTGAGAGCAAGTTAAACCCCACTTGCTCAAGAGATGCTCAATCGACCAGTCGGCACTGCGCTCTTGATATGTGCACAAAAATTTAGCTGTTGGATTTCTCTCGAGCAAAAATGAAACAGTCACGACGATATCTTCGAAAACCGATGGCTCGTAGAAACAATCGGATCCCAAAATAAGATCAAGTGGACCAAGTGTGAAGAGACTGGACAAGAACAGACCCCAAGTGATACCAACAATTTTCACCTGTGACGATACACCATTCAATTCACAACTACGTCGAATGTGTTGTAAACTTTTTGGAAGATTTGCAGCGTCACTCAATGTTACATTTGCCCCACACTTACTGGCAACAATTCCCGGCAATGCCGTTCCTGATCCAAGCTCCAATACCCTCTTGCCTTTCAAATCCTTTCGATTCTCCCAAAGAAACCAAGCCAACACTGGTGCTGAGGGCCAAGTATAAAAATTGTAACTTGCCTGAAGAAGCTGAAACAAAAACACAATTCTTAGAAATACAAATAATTGTCAGGGACGCATGATTTCACACCCAAATTATTTTTAATACAATTTTAATAATATTTCATAAAAGAATTCATTTTTTCAAAAAATTTTAATATTTTTTGAAAAAAATTCTCATTTTATAAAATTTTAATACTTTCAAAAAAATTCAATAATATTTATAAATAATAAAATTCTTATCAAAAATTCAATTATATTCAAAACAATTTCACGAAAGAATTGAATTTTTAAAAAATTTTTGAAAAAATTCAATTATATTTAAAAATAGTAAAATTCATTGCAAAAATTCAATTGTTTTCAAAAAAAATTCCACGAAAGAATTCAATTTTTTTTTAAATTCATTTTATGTTTAATTTCAATTTTTAACAAACACGATTATTTTAAAAACTTGAAAGAAATTGTTCATAAAATTCAATTATTTTCAAAAATTTTAATTATAATTATTAAAAAAACTACATTATTTAAAAAAAGTTTAAAGAAATTCTTCAAAAAGAATTTAATTAGAATTTTCAAAAATTCTAACAAAATCTTCGCGAGAATTCAATTATTTTTCTAAATAATAAAATTCTTCGAAGGAATTCTATTATTGTCAAATTTTTTGATAAAATTCTTTGCAACAATTCGATGATTTTCAATACATTAATTTTAAAATTGAAAATATTTTTGCTCTTTTCAAATTCCCTGACCTTTACAGATTTTCCAGGTTTTTAAAACGAAAATTATTCGAAAACATCAATAACTTCATTTTTAAATAAATATGTAATCATTATTAAATTAATAAATTATTTAATAAATTAATTAATTTTTGAAATTAATTAAAATTTTCCGAAGAATTTTATTAAAATTTTTAAAACAATTGAATTTCGGATTCAATTCTTCGAGAATTCAATTATTTAACTACAAAAATAAATATTTTATTAAATAATTGAAAATTTTTAAGTAATTGAATTCTTTTGACAAATTTTAATAAAATTTTTAAGAATAATTTCATTTTTCGAGAAATTTGATGAAAATTGTATTAAAAATAATTGAATTTCGGAGAAAAAAATTATTATTTATAAAGATAATTGAAATTTTAACGTCAATTTTTGTAAATTTGTGAACATAATTGAATTTTTGCGAAGAATTATATTAACTTTTGAAAATAATTGAACTCTTGAGACGAATTTTATTAAAATTTCTTTTATAAATAATTAAATTTTTTTTGTGAAATTTTATTGAAATTGTAAACATTGAAAATAATTGAATTTTGACAAGTTTTTCAAATTAATTAAGTTTCTACGAAGAATTTGAAAAAAATTGAATTGTTACAAAGAATTTCATTAAAATTTTTGAAAATAATTTAATTGTTTAAAGAAATGTAATTGAAAATGTATTGAAAATAATACTTAAATTCTAATAAATAAAAATGTAGCAAAGGTTTTTAAAATAATTGAATTTCTTTGATAAATTTTAATACCATTTTTATGAACAATTACATTGTTGGAGGAATTCCATTAAAATTGTATTAAAAGTAATTTGAAAGCCTACGATGAGTTTTATTATGTATTTATGAAAATAATTGAATCCCAGTAAAATATGTTATTATTTATGATAATAATTTATGAAAATAATTTGCAAATAATTGAATTATCATTTTTATTGCATAGAATTATGAGAAATAAATATTTTACTTTTAACAATTAGGATTGCTTCCAATTGCACAAGTTAAAAATTACGCTGTGTCTATTTCGCCCGCAAACGGGCGAAATAAGAGTGATGAATTATTTCGCCCGTCATTAAAAATACGTAGGTAGGGGACAACTGGCGAAATAAGAGAGATGAATTATTTCGCCCGTCATGAAAAATTAGTAAGTAGGGGGGGAAACAGGCGAAATAAAAATAGTAAATTATTTCGCCCATCATGAAAAATAAGTAAAAATATGTAAAACGGGCGAAGTAGCAATGACACATTGCTTCGCCCGTTTTTGGTTTTTTAATTAATTTTAATGGGAAAAAGGTTAGCTTATCACTTGTATATTTTTGTGAAGATTGAATTAAAAACTTAAAAAGTTGTGAATTTTTATAATAATTCACAAAGTTTCTTTATTTATCAATATTTTTGGTGCTCATTAGTAATTTTCTACATAATATTTTATAAAATAAACTAGATTATGTATTTTAATATTTTTTCTACCTATCTATGTAGACTAAAAACATTAATTTTTAGAAAATTCTTATTATTTTTGTTCAAATCAGTTCAAAAGTATATTAACTCAGATTTGGAAAATAAGTTTTATGATACTATTTTTGAAAGAAAAATTTAGAAATAATTTTATTTTTTTTTATTTTGATTGACAAAAACATTTTTTTAAAGAAAGTGTGAAAGTGTGAAATTCATTTTAAAACTTAAATAAAGAAACTGTACTTTTTTTAAAAATGAGCTACACATAATTATTTGAATTTGGTGTGAAGGTTACTAACCTGACTTGAACACACTTCTTTTCATTTCTGTCAGTCACCTTAAAAATTTAAAATTTTTCAATGGTATTATAGGAATAACTATATAACGGGCGAAATAATTCATTGCTCTTATTTCGCCCGTTGTCCCCCACCTACGTATTTTTAGTGACGGGCGAAATAATTCATCACTCTTATTTCGCCCGTTTGCGGGCGAAATAGACACAGCGTAAAAATTATGTTAATTTTTAAATGTAAATTAATTGTTAAATGTGAATAATGATTATAAAGTTTATAATTCCGTTAAATAACAACTATAAATATCATAATTTGGGCCCATAATTGTTTAAAACATATTATGTAACCGCAAGAACAAAACAAAAAAAACGTGCTTAACGTAAATGAACCAATAACAAAAAGTATACTTCAAATTTCCCCAAATTTTCAAAAACAAAAAAAAGTACCAAACGCAAAATAATATCATAAATACCAAAATAAATCCAAAAGAAAAAATGTGTGATGATTTTGCATAAAAAAATGTTGACTAACATAACCTAAAAAACGTGTAATACCAGTAGCACTTGAAAACAGACGTTTTCCAGGGTAATTATAACAAAACTTCGACAGGGAAAAATAGATTTAATTTACCTCCGGAATAAAGACCTCTAATGATTCATCATACTGATCTTCTTCACCATCTTCTCCTGCTTTTCGCGACGTGAAAAAAAACTTTTTCACTTGCTCAGAGGCGACACCATCGGTCATCAGGCCGTAATCAAGTGTATTTCTGTTCAGCCAAAGACTTTCTTCTAAACCCGGCATTACTGACTATCAAACTGCAAGTTATTTATCTTCAAATATAATCATATTTACTATTTTTTTCTTCACTAACAAAGGACTTTTTAGCAACTATTTCTTAAGGTAACCGATAAATAAAAAATACTTTCGTCCTTTAAAGGATTCGCCATCAACGCGCATGCGCATACTGTCGGAATTTGACTTCCTTTGTATTGAAAAATTATTATATTAAAAACATTTATTTAAACAAAACAAACTTATTGTAAAATAAGTACTACTTGACTAGTTTAAGAATTTTTAGTAATTTTTCGAAAAATTCCACTCCTGTATTGAGTTTTCCTTCAATTTATTTATTAATTCAGACATGTAAAGAGGAGATGTTTTGACTTACGCGGTAAATTTAAATACCCGTTTGTTAAATATACTAAAACCCAATTAATTATATTTATTGTGTTTGATTAGAAGAATTAGAAAGAAAATCTTACACTTCGCAGGTTTCTTTTTGCAATTTACTTAGTTGAATAATTCAAAAAGAATTAACTAAATGCAAAAAGGTTATTCGGAAATTTAAATTATCAATACTTTTCGCGCTTGCTAAAGAGAAAAATGTACTTTATAAAAGAAAAAAACTTAATAATTCATAAATTAATTTACTTTTATAATACCACAATTTTTTTATTTCAAATCTTTCGAATGGTCAGTAACGTCAGTAACATATTTTTCCTACTTTATCAATGAAAATAAAAAAAACATAATACTTCATAATTTAGCCACTTGAGCGCTGTAAAAAAAACAATTAATCTCCATCTTTGACAATTCGATCAAAATAATATTATCTCATATCAAAAAAACATGATTTAAGCTATTAATTAAAAAGTAACTGGGCTATCTGTGATGTAATATTCAATTTATGAATCGGTTCAATAATTTGAAAAGATGATTACGTGATAAGGTACAGTACCGTGCTCTGTCAAATTAATCAAAGGGGGAGGTATGTTCCTGTATGTGCTTTGATGTCTTCTCATAATCGACGACGATGGCAACAATTTATCATTTTTTTTCTCATTTAATTGAAAATAACAAATGAGAACAGTGCTCAACAGTGCTAAAAGATCCAGTGTGTTATGATATATCATCGTAAATTTTACATAAATAGAAATTGAAAATGGGTTAATTTGGTTGTGTCCATATAATTCTAGTCAAATTTGAAAGCAATTTATTAGGACCACGGGTTTGATTAAAGATGGAGGAAGATATTAAGGAGAGGATTCTGTCAAGAAGGCGTTCAGCGGCATTAAATGCATTTAAAGTCAAAGATGATCGACTAGCCACTGTTAAGAAGGTAAAGAATGTTAGTTTTTTTTAATAAAAATATCAAAACATGTGCACACTTGTTAAAAAATGGTACATTTAAAAATTTAAAAATCTTCCGGTTAATTGAAAATCATTGTAAAGTAGGGAAAATTTTTCTAATTTTCCCGTGTTTTTCTAGGTCACTGCTATTTTACAAAAACCTGAAGATACCAGGTCACCTGAAGAGGAAGAATTTTTAAAATCGTACAGTGATATCGTTAAAGAGGTTAAGTTAAGGTATGGCCATTTTGTCTGGAAAGGAGAGATTTATTTTTTCTTTTTCTTTTTTTCTTAGAGATTCTTTCACAATTAAGTGAAAATACTTGTATAAGAAAATTCCAACATTAATGTAAATGTTATACAACAAAAATCAGTTTTTTTTCTAACCTAAAAAGTAGGAAAGTAGTGTCATTTATTGCAATTTGTTTTGTGTTATATTTTTTTATAAATGTATTAAATTGTAAAGTTTATTTTACTTTTGAGTTTGTTATTTTTAGTAATTAAGTTTATTGTTTTAGTAATCACTTTAGTATTAAAGGCTTTATACTTATCAACAAAAAACTACTATTTATTTTACTTTTTTATGATTTGCTACTATTTGGATACTTTTTTTTAGATTTGTGACACTACTTTTTTCTTTTTATTGAGATTTTTCACTACATTAAATCTGCTAATAGTTAAAATATAAAAAATTATTCTAAAAAATTTTAATATTTTTAGAAACGATTAAATTATTTTCAAAATTTGAAGAAAATTTTTCGCATGCAATCAATTATTTTCATAAATAATGAAATTCTTGACTGAAATTCAATTATTTTCAATAATCTACAATTTTAACTAAATTGCTTAAAAAAATCAATTCTTTTTTTAAAATTTTAACAAAATTCTTCACAAAAATTAAATTATTTTCAATACAATTTAAATTTTAATAAAATTCTTGAACAAAATTTAATTATTTTCAGTTTATTATTTATTAATTTCAATATTTCAATTTAATAAATTTCAATCATTTTGATAAATAATAGAATTCTTCACAAGAATTAAATTTTTTTAAATACAATTATAATTAAATTCCTCCAAAAAATTCAATTATTCTTTTAAATTTTCATAAAATTCTTGGAAAAAATTTAATTATTTTCAGTTTATTATATATTAATATTAATTTCAATATTTCAATTTAATAAATTTTAATCATTTTGATAAATAATAGAATTTTTCACAAGAATTCAATTATTTTTAATACAGTTGTAATTAAATTCCTCCAAAAAATTAAATTATTTTGAAAAATTTTAGTAAAATTTTTCACAAGAATTCAATTATTCACAAAAATAATAAATTTCTTCACATAAATTCAATTTTTTTAAAGAATTATAATAAAATTTGTCGCAAGAGTTCAATTATATTTTTTTTTATGATAGTTCTGGGAAGGAAATTAATTATTTTCAAAATTTTTTTTTAAATTCTTAATAGGAATGCAATTTTAAGAAATAATCAATTATTCTATCAATTATTTATTTATATTATGTATTCAAATAATTGAATTCTCGTAGAAATTTCTAATTGAAATTGATTTAAAAATGAATTTCAATTAATATTTCAGATAATGATTGTATTTAAAAATTCAAAAAAATAATTGAATTTGGAAAGAATTGCAGTTGTAACTTTTAGAAATAATTAAATTTCAAAAACACAGTTTTAATGTTAATTAAATTTATGTAAAAATTTCAAAAAAATTATTGAAATTTCCAACTAATTGGAAACTTTGTCAAATTTAATTGAAATAAATTTTATATTTTAAAGAATTTTATTTTTTTAATCTTTAAAATTATTTTTAAATATAATTGTATTTTTGAAGAATTCTACCTAAACATTTGTAAAATTACTGAATGTTAGAAAAATGTAGAATATTGATGTTATTATCAGGATAGGGAAAAAAGTGAATATTTTATATGGAAATGAGGAAAAAGTCAGGGAAATACAGAATCAAATTATTGTGTTTTTTGTGAATGGACTAAAACGAATTTTTTTAGTCGTCAAATTTAATTTTCAATAGCTATTCACTGAAAAAAAAATTCGGCAGAATGTGCTTTTTACTCAGGCAATTTTTGCCTAAGAACAAAAGCAATAGACGTAAAGCAATTGTTTCTTTTAAAAAAAGGCAATTTTTGTTTTTAAAAAAGGCAAAAATTTTAACTAAGGCAATTTTTACATTTTTAAAAGACAAAAATTGCCTTTTTTTAAAAGAAACAATTGCTTTACGTGTATTGCTTTTGTTCTTAGGCAAAAATTGCCTGAGTAAAAAGCACATTCTGCCGAATTTTTTTTTCAGTGTTATTTTTATTACTTTTTTGCGATCCTAAAGTTCAAAACGTTCAAATAAACGAAATTTATTTATTTTTTTGAAATTCAATTTTTGTTACATTAATTTTGCGTCACTATCAAGAAAAATTTTTTTATGAAGCTTCTAAATGTAAAATTTAAGTCCTCAATTAATACTACAATCAGTAATTTATGAAAATATTCTGTTTATTTGTACTTCAAAAATTGTTGATCATATTAGCTTTTTTTCAGTCTTAAAGCAAATTTTTTTAAAATTAATTCTCGAGTGTGAATTCTGATTATTTATTTGGTTTTAGTATTAAATTTGTATAACGATTTTGTTGCAGGCAAAAGAAAAGGGATAGAGTGAAAGCAAGACAAGAGGAAGTTGAAGATGCACCGGAAATTTTGGAAGAGAAGTGTATGCGACTAGCGGCTGCCATTAGTAGAGCAACTTCCCTTGCAGTTTATACAGGTGCTGGTATTAGTACAGCAGCTTCGATTCCAGATTACAGAGGCACTAATGGTGTTTGGACGAGAATGCAACAAGGAAAGGATATTGGGTAGGTTGTGACTTTTAACTTAACTTTATTTATAAAAAAAATATTATTTTAAAAAATAGATTTTTGAAAATAAATTTTTCTTCTCCGGAAAGATTTTTTATTTTTATTTTCATTTTCAGAAATCATGATCTAAGCCAGGCGGATCCAACCATAACGCACATGTCTCTTTATGCACTGTACAAGGCGCGTGTATTAAAGCACATAGTCTCCCAAAATTGTGACGGTCTTCATCTACGTAGTGGAATTCCACGAACATTAATGTCGGAAGTTCATGGCAACATGTACGTCGAGGTATGTAAAACCTGTAAACCTTCTCGAGAATATTGGCGACTATTCGATGTCACTGAAAAAACGGCAAGATACAATCACGGCACTGGTCGGCTGTGTCATAAATGTAATTCCCCACTTCACGATTCAATTGTACATTTTGGCGAGAGGGGAAATTTATTATGGCCAATTAATTGGAGTGGCGCATCGAGAGCGGCAAAGCAAGCCGACGTTATACTCTGTCTTGGTTCGAGTTTAAAAGTTTTAAAAAAATACCCTTGGCTTTGGCAAATGGATCGACCGATACATAAGCGACCATCCCTTTATATTGTAAATTTACAATGGACACCAAAAGATGAGAATGCCGTTTTAAAAATTAACGGCAAATGTGATGAGGTGATGAAAAAAGTGATGACACACTTAGGTATTGAAATTCCAGAATATTATCGTGCTAAAGATCCAATTTTTCATCATGCAATTAGACTGCAAAGTGCGGAGCAATCGACGAGAACGCAACCGTTACTCGAGGAACCTGTTCTCACTGAACAAGAGGAGGAGGAGGAGGAGAGTTTTAGCGTCGAGGTAAAGGACGAGAAACCAATTGTTAAAGTTGAAACAAAAACGGAGACAGATTGTAATTCGCAAATTACACTCACTGAACCAATGACTGCTTATCCAGCGCCATTTTTCGCTGCACTACCATTTCTTTCAATGGGTTTGCCATTTCCTCCAATGTACATGTATCCTCAACTATCCCCATTTCTTTATTATCCGTTTATTCAAATGCCGACAATAACGACTGAAACGGCAAAGCCAAAACCTGCGTGCACATTTTGTATGGAAAATGAGGGTTCTCTTACTTGTTTGTATTATCAACGTGATGGCGATGATCCAGTGACCACTGATTCCCTGCCACAGGAGACGGAAACTGAAATGGAAAATGTCTCGTCACTTGAACAAATTCAAGATTCTGATGCACTCACGTTAGATGTTAATACACCGGTATCGACTGCAAAAAATCCAGGCTGGTTCGGCAAGGGATATCGAAAGGGTTTGAAAAAGAAACGGTAGCATTCAATCATTCTTTTCATATCGCGTCTATTTTTACTCATTTAATTCGCAGTCTTTCTCAATTTGAACAAATTATTTCGTATTAGGATAATTTCTTCTTTTTTCTCCATTGCGTAAATATTTTCTTATATTCGATCACTTTTTCATTCTCACTGAGCAATTTATTCGTTACTTTTCATCGAATTGTCAGTAAAGTTCTACTAATGGTCACGTTAGTAAAATTCTCAACGTTTATAATTAACGAATTAGGAGAAAAAAATTTTCTATTAACAAATTTTCATAATTTTCCGTTATGAAAACTATATACAATTTTTTTTTCATTTTTATTTATATTTTTTCTATATTTTATTTATTTATATTTTTTATTTACAATTATTTTAATAGGAAAATTTTGTAAAGTATTTAAAGTTTATTCTTTTTCCTGTAAAAAATATTTTTCCACATTAAATCGTTGATTAGAAAAGACGTAATAATCAACGATCAAGAAAAAAAATATTTTTAAACACAATTTTTTGTTTAGAAATTTTTCTAATTTAAATTATTCATCAATAGATTATTTTTTAATTAAAATAGAATATTTTTAAATTTAAATATAAATAAATAGAAAAAAAATTTGAACAGAAAATTATTTTTTTCTTTTAAATCGTTGATTGTAAGCGTTGCCAATTTCATTAAAAGTTCAGATTACGAATAATTAGATGAAGTAATTACTAACCATTGGAAAATAACAATTGAATTCTCAATAATACAATAATAATTGTTACATTATTCTTAAAATTCGTTAAAATTGTTAATTATCAATTGCAGACTTTAAAATTTTTAATTAAATTCTGAAATTGAAGTTGAAATTTAATTTAATTTAATTTAAATTTAATATTGATTTTATTTAAATTAACTTATAAATTTAATTAAATTTTAATTCGGACAAATTAATGAAAAAAGTAAAAGACTAAAATTAATTTAAAATTAAAAAGAACTTAAAGATAGAAAAGTACAAAAAGTAAAAAAAATTGAAAAGTTTTTGTAAAGCTTGCAATTTGAACAATTTGAAATTATTTATTAGTTACCTACTAACACAAAATACTAATTTATTTATTTATTTATTTAATAATTATATTCTCATAATAATGAAAGGTATTGGGTTTGTGTGAATTTTTAAATACTCATTAATAATAATAATAATAACAAACCGAAATTTTATTGGTTTTAACCCAACTTTCATAATTTAAAAAACAATGAATAAATTGACTGACGGGATGAAAAATGTTTATCGATTATTACACAAGTATTTAGCATTTAGAATAGTTAATTTCTTTCGTTAACTATTTTTCAATTATAAGTGTTTTTTCTCCTCAATTTCGTAAAATTTATAGAAACTCTCAAGAACAAATTTCGCAAACAAATTTACTCAATATTCTAAATAGAAAAATAGTGTTAGTAATACTTTCCCATTTTTATGAAAGCAAAATAGTTTAGTTTTCAAATTTGAAAACTTTTACGATTATTAATTTAAATAATTTCGTTTTTGTTATTTTCATTTGTAAAAACGGTTTTTAAACGACTATAATGTCGTTTTTAAAAAAAGGTTGGTAATGTTAATAATTAATATTACTGACAATGACTGGTCTTGAACATCTTCCTCGAATTTATCTCAATTGTACGTGTGCGCGCGTGTGTGTGAGAAAATTAATTAATTGAATTAATTAATTATTTGCTTCGACTGTTTACCTATACATAATAATGTGTAGCGAACCTTGAGCTTTATAGAAAAAAAACTTATTTTTTTACGTTGCTGATAATCAAAATTGATTGCACTAATTTTTTTATATTGCTATATACATATGACTAGAGTCAAAGATAGAATAAGCGTGACCTTTTTTACATATTATATAAATAATAAAATTTTTTTTTGTTTTTCTTTGAACACAACAGTACTGACAGTGAAAAAAAATTGTACTGATTGTAGTTTTAGAATTATTAATAATAGTAATATAATAACTCTCACGTATAATAAGTAAAACGTAATTAGCAATTGATATTGAATATCTTATGACGTAAAAAATTTATCTTGATATTAAGTCTCTTTCTATGAAAACAAAAAAATTAGAAACGCTTTTAGCGTAGATGAAAAATTTTACTGAATTTGTTTGTCGCATTTTTAAGCTTTGAATCACAAGAGTGTGTTTTCGAACAATTATTTCGAAGAGTTTTAATGTCCATCATTGAAAATTCACAATTATGTAAATTATCGAATCTACGGATTAGTTTCTTACAGTGTGCAGACTAACCATTTTTTTTAGTTTGCGCTTTTTCCGAAAGTTTAGGAAAAAATTGATTTTTTTAGTGTGATATTTTTGTTTCGTAACACTAAGAAATTAAGTGATTCAATATTTTATAATAATTGAGTCGAGTAGGAAACTTTCTCTTAAATTTTGTTTTCGATCTATTATTTTTGAGTTTTTTTTACGAAAAAACATTTTTTTTTTATCGGGAAATATTTATTTCTTTCTTTATTTAATTTACATAATTTTTTATTGTTACTATTTATTGAGTGAAATCATTTGAAATTTGTTATAAATTTAGTTTTTATATTATGAAAATTTTAAATTATTTTTCTGCAAAGTAAGAGCATGAACAAATTATTTATCTAAAATTTTCTTGCATTATAATAATTGGAAGAAAAAAAACATGTGAGAATTATTTATGTAAATATTATTTTCTACAATTTTTTTTATAGAATAGGAAAGAATTTTCTTTTAATTAAATTTCGCATAAAAAGTAATTCTTACTATTGTAAATATAATTTTTTCTTTCTTTTTTTTCTTTTCTCATCATTGTAAAGTCTTTCTGTACATTTTTTATGTTATATTTTTAAATACTCTTAGTGCTGTGAAAATTTTTGTGAATATGTTTTTCTTTTTTTACCTGAATTCGAATACTTTGCTTCAAAGTAAGTTTTGTTTAATAATAAACTGCACTGCTGTTCAAGTTTTATTAAACTGGAAGAAAAATAGTATTTTTTGTCTCGGCCCTTCTGGAAATAAAAAACGACGATTAATTTTTTTTATGTTAAAATGCTTAATAGTACTTTTTCTACAGAACAAAAATTACTCTACAGAATTGATCAGAAAAAGTGCAAGTTGCTTCAATTAACTAATTGCGTAATTGAAAAAAATAGTGTCATATAATAATAGTCACGACAGAAAGGATGAAAATGTTTTAATTAAAAATAACTTTTATTAAAAATAATTAAACCTAATGGAAATTTTTGTTCAGTTTTCAAAATTCATAAAATTTACGTTTCCAGTTATAAAAAAAAATAACAAATTATTTAAATAAAGTATTTAAATAAATAAACTGGAGAATTCTATGCAATAAAAAAAGGACGTAATAACGTATAAAATTTTGTATAAAAAAAATTTCCTCGAAGAGTCATAAACGAACAAAATTACTAATATCAGAATGAAGCCAGCCGAGGCAATTTCGAAAATAAAAAATTTATTTTGTTGATAGTGCTATAAGATTATTTAATAAGTATACAATATAGAAAAAAAGGAAATAAAAGTGAAAAAAGAAAAAAACAGAGCAGACTGAGCTCTGTTTCAAGAGCACGTAATGTCATGTATTGTTGTGTAGAATTATATTCTAACTGTGAGATTAAAAGTATACCTTGTGAATTCTAGAAAAAGGAGGGTCTATATATTTCCATCAACTCTTTAAATGTCCATAAATCCGTAAATAAATAATATTCCATAATCAGTGATTAAAAAGAGAGCTGCAGTTATATATACATAATTACATTTATTATTGATGAACTTTTCATTGAATGCAACGTATTCACACACGCGCTTTTAAAACATCAATAATTTATTAAATGCTTAAAAGTAGAACGGAATATTATTTATAAACTTTGCTTTCTCACGTATTTGAAATAGATTCATATTGGCTATTACTGGAACAAACTTTTCTTTTAATATTGAGAAAGTCTTTTCAAAGCTTCCTCTTTTTTTTCTTTTCTTTTCCAATCTGAAACAAAATTTTTCAAAAAGTCATTTTTTTGCTATTTTTATAATATTTCTTTACGTTAATCTTCTTTTATTAATATATTTATTGCTAATATATTAATAATTTATTATTATGCAAATTAACATTTTTTTTTATTTTCAACAATTAATTTAAATTTTGGAATAATTTCAGATACAAAAATGCAAAAAAAATTAAATTATTAACTAATTTACTAATTATTTATTGTTTTCAAAAATTCTCATAAAATTCTTTTCAGGAATTCAATTATTTTCAATTATTTATTATTATTATTATTATTATTATTATTATTATTATTATTATTATTATTATTATTATTATTATAATTAGTTTTATTATTTATATATATATTATTTTTATTATTATTATTATTATTCAACGATACGAGGAATAAATAATTTATGGAATATTTATTTCCTGTATTTTAAATAATCGATTTATTAACCCCTTAAAAGTGCCGATGGCAAAAATTTTACGACTAAAAACTTTTGCGCACCTAAAGGCACTTGAGGGATTAATAAATACATTCTGCAGATTATGAAAAGACAATTTAAATTTTGAAGAAAGTTTTAAAAGTTAATAAAATTATTACGCCATATTTTTTCGAGTTAATTTTTAATTTAAATATACTTTTTACGAGTTTATTAAATTCGGTGAATCTATAAAATTAAATGAATTTTTATTTGTAAAAAACGAAATTTGTAATCTTCAAAGAAAATATTTTCTCTCGAAAGAAATTTTGCTTTTAATTTTATATAAAATGAAAGTATTCAATTTTATACGATTGGAAAAATATTCTTGACAAGTTTTCTAATTTTACTGTATACGTATATATAAAATAGAAAAGAGACATAAAAAAAATAGTGAAAAAACGTAAAAATAGAAAAAGTATAAAAATATTTCTCCTATCGCTATTCATTTTTACTTGTTATTTTATAAATATTTATAGACGATACGTGTAAATATTTTTTTATATATACGAAAAGTAATAATCTGCCTGAGATGAATAATATATATAATAAAATATTTTTTTTCAATCTTATTTTCGATCAGTATTATTAATTCTCATCGGTACTAATATAGAGATTGAGAGAAGAAAAGGAACTACCGGAAACTTAATGTCGGAAGTGCTGTCAATGTTTCTTGTCATCAGTAGCAGCGTGACCATGATCGCCACCAACTAACGGGTGAGTCTTACATACAATTTACATTATTTGCATATGAACTTGATACATTATTCATTCACAAATGGAGAAAATTGATACGAAAAGTCGAAAGTTGAATACCATGTTTGGTATATCGTTCGATGACGCTTTCCTCTCTCTATGAAAAATAGTTCAATACTTTTTTCTCCTATATATGCGAGTTGTACACAGACGATAAATTGAATCCTACAAAAGAAAAATCAAGATTGAAACATTTAAAAAATTTAAAATCCTATACGAGAGAAAACATTTAAGACGATCAGGAAACCTCTTAAGCGCATACAATCTTGTAAACGTAAAACGTTGCACATGTTCCCTTCTTAAAGAAATCGTTAAATTGACAGTCGTGAAACATAAATTGTTTCACGAAACTTTGACAAAATAGTAAAGAAAAATCAATTTTTTTTGTTTAATTTTTAATATTTTATGCCTATGATAATTTATTAATCATTAATGTATGTAATGCATTCATAGTATAGAACTTTCATATAATATTTTTATCTCGAAATTAGATTTTGAAATTCAATTAAGAAAATAATTATATATAGAAGATTAACATTTCTCGAATATTATACAAATAATATTGATAATATTATTTGTGAGTTAATGAAATTCGATAATTAAGAAATATTATGACTTTAAATGTCAAATATCCAAGTAAATAAATTTTACAGCATATATGGATGCATCCTCGGGGGGATTTAATAACATATGTATCTCGTGAGTGGTCTTTTCCTCTTTCTGCTTTTTGCATCCGGTTTACAATACAGTACTTTATTCCTCTAATTACTTAATATTTAAAACCACCAGACTCTAGATTCTCTGATTCTTGGCCCATTGCGAGCTCTTTATGCAAACATATATATACATTCACCAATGAAAGTCTGTTGAAATAAAACCTTTTTTAATTGTTGATTTTATCTAAAAGAAGTTATGAAGTGAAATTTACTGTTTATTAAACTGTAATCTTGTAAAATTAAGGGCAATATATTTATTTATTAATGAGCGTAATTAAACTTTTGTATATGAATAGCCGCTTTATCTCTTAATGAGTTTGTAAATTCAGTTTTTGTTTTAAAAATTTCAAATAATTCATTTCAAGAAAATTACTGGTACAATTAATAATTATTGTCAAAAGGGAAATTAAGATTTTCGAATTATTATTTATTATTATTTTTATTATTAATTTGCGTTTTTCTAAAATTTCTTTTTACATTTTTTCGTTTTATTTTTGTTCTATTATTATTTGTTAATAAAAATGTTTTAATCATTACTAATAGTATGTATGATAATAATTATTATGTTGATAAAGTTCACAACGTTTATATTCAACAATTTAGAGAAAAAATATTTTTACATTTGAATTTTTTTCTAAAAAAAATGTTTAAAAATTTTCTTGATTAAGAACTTAATGAAGAAAAATTTTTAAACAGAAAATATTGATTTCTCCGTAAAAAGAATATTTTTCTTTCAGTCGTTGATCATCAACGTTGTGAACTTCACCCATGTTAATTATTAAGAGTAATAATTATAATTAAATTATGTTCAAGTTTTAATAGTATAATAATCATTATTAATTTATATTTACTTTATATACAGGTAAAATAAATAAATTAAAACGAAAAGTAAAAAAGGAACTTTTAAATAAGAGTTAAATAAATTAATTTCTTATTAAAATTAGCAAAATTATCTGCGTGGGAATAATTACGAATAATAATAATAATAATAATAATGAATATTTAAAACAATTTCAATTTAATTGAATTTAAAATAATAATAATTAATTAGAAATTTAATAATTGATATTATTTTAGTAAATAATTTTGAATGATTAATGAATATTTCAAAAGAAATCATAATTATTGTCTTACGTAAAAAAGAGGAAGATCAGGACCGAAATTTTTGGTAGATTTTCGTCCTTAATGATTCATAAGATAAAAATATCTTCATTCTCGTTTGGAAATTTTAGTTTCAAATCGTCGGCAGCTACAAAAACTGATTTAATTGTCCTCTTTCTATAATCGTAATGATTTTGGGTCAATAACTGCTCCAAGCAAAATTGATAGGCCTTGACAAGTTTTACAAACAATGCTCTTTCATTGTAAAAATTATTCTAGTAGAGAGTATTTTCCACTAATTATCCATTTTTAGGTGCCCTAAAAAAATAATTCATTATTGTATTTTTTCAAAAAAGTATAATAAATATTTTATCGAAACGTTATTTTTACAAAATTATATTAATACTTAATAAAATATTATTTTTTAAGTTTAAAATTCTTCGTAAAAGATTTTAATTAATAATTTACATAATTAATAAATTTCTGCATGAAAAGATTTTAATAAAACAAAATTAAATTCATTTTCAAAAGAATTGTTTTATAAATTGATACCTAAATATTATTCTTTTTGATAATAAATTTAAAATTTGTAAAACAATATTTACGTGTCACGTTATTTAAATTAAATATTAAAAATAATTCCTAAATCGAGCAACTACTGAAAATTTCCAAATCAATTTGATTGAATTCATCAAAAAATGCCCAGACTCCGTACGATGCAAATTCCTGGAAAAGTGATGTATAAAAATTTTGTTAAAAATAATTATTTTCTCCAAATGTAATCCAATTCGTTGAAACAATTGTAGGCGACACATTGTTTGGCGATGGTTTTAGGTAAATCTTTCCTCGTTTCCATTTTTCCAGTTCCAACTTCCGGTGCTCCACCGAGACGTAAATTTAAAGCCCCGAATAATGTCCGATAACATCTTTATCGGTTAAACGAGTTACCACGAGTCAAGAACCATTTCCAAAATATTCGTTGCCGTATTTTAGAAAAGAATTTATTGTCATTGTCAATAGATTTCCGTTCTAAAAACAATCATTACGAGTATAAAATTCAAATGACAGTAAAAGAAATTAAAAAAGGAGAAAATTTATTTATACGATCCAGTAGTAACAGAATTGACAGATTCCTTTGGAATCTGTGTTGAATTTTACATTTTGTTAAAAAAAACAGACGAAAATGTCCCTTGAATGCACGTCTATTGAAACAAAAAATTTAATACGTTTAATACTCAACAAGAAAATAAAAAAACACATTTTTAATAGAATAATTCAGGCAAACGAAAATTATTATTAAACATTATAATCACTAATTAATGCAATAATTACTAGAATAATTAACTAAGGCCTAATTTTTCACTTTTAAAAATTAATTTCCCTCATTAAAATTACAATAATTGCCGTAATTTAAAAGCAATTAATAAAAAATATCAGAAAGAAGAAAAAATAGTGGAAATTAGTTAGAAATACCTAAAGTAGTTCAATTCGGTTTAGAGTGTTTTCCTCAAGCAATGGATGATTCGATTTAATTGCTGATTACAAACATCTATATTATAATCTTTAAATCCTTGTTGTTCTTTGTGGAACATTAGAAAATGCACTTTTAACTCCTGGTGGTCCAGCAAAGTTGAGAAAAACAAAGGATTATTTGACCAAGCCATTCGAGAAACCATTCGTTGTCTGTAAATAAATTCTTTTTGTTCGTATCACTTATAATAGACGAGTGTAAATTATTCACTGTTCGATTATTTACAATTATTAATATTTCAAACTTATTAATATTTATTTACAATTGTCTTTGATTCTTTGATTGTTGACTGTTATTGACATTTTCTTTCTTCAGAAGTTATGGTGACATAAGATTTGAGGTTAGGAATCGATTGTTTAAAAATAGTTTTAGAAAAACAGTATTTTAGTATATTATTTTTAATAAATTGTTACTATTATTTATATTTATTGATTTTATTTAATAGTTAATTATACTTCATCTATTAATTATTTAGTTAATTTAATATTTATTTTACAGAATTTGAATATCGATAGTTTATTATCGATATATTTAGTTTGAATAATCGACACGAGCGCGCTGAACGCCTAGGCGCTTGCTCATTGGTCGACGCGGCCAGCCAATAGGGAGCGCGCCATTCCGAACATGCGTAAGTGCTGTGCGCGGAGCTCAGTTGGCGGCGAGCAACCATCGGTGACGGTGGTAGCTGGCTCTCCCGGGTTGAGCCCCTTACGGGACTCCTCGGTGGTAGAGAAGCCGCCAGGGGCCCCTCCCAGAGGAGGAGGGTGACCCCAGGGGGGACTAGGGGTGGCCCAGTTGGCAAACTGGCCATCACTGGTTGGGGTCCAGGGTGGACTCCAGCCGATGATGTCTAGGTTGCCAATGTGGAGCAGACTCCACAATGGGGTTTTTACCTCATTGTGGAGTTTGCTCTACATTGGCAACTTAGACATCATCGGCTGGAGTCCAGGGTGAGAGGCGCATTGGGTTCACCCCTTATTGCAGCTGTCACCCTGGACTCCAGGCAGTGATGTCTAGGTTGCCAATATGAAGGTGACTCCACACTTAGGGTTTCTAATTGTGGAGTCAAAAGAGGGGTAATTCCACAATTGGGAATTTAAGGTTATGTTGACACCTTGTACAAAATGGAGTCTCTTTAGAGTGACGTGTCAACTTAACCTAAAAATCTCTATTGTGGGTACTTCCTTAGAGAATGGGTTATTTAGGAACCATCAGAAGAAATGCAATGCCATACTGCATTAGTCGCCAAGGGGTCCTATCAAATGATGATAGGAAATGGTGGCAGGAGGACGATCAAGAGATGAGGCCGATGACGAGAACGTGAAGCTGGTCCAAGGATGCCGCGCCATCAACTTTCGGAAGATGGGATTTCTAATCGGTAAGTAATATTTTCCATTACAAATTTTTTTAAATTTAAACGCTTATTTATATTGTTTTATTTATTACTAATTATTAATAAATAAGAATAATATAAAGAACAATTTTAAACAATTTAAAGTTTTATTGAATTTAGTGAAATACAAATATTTATTATTAAATAAAATGTATTATTTAAATAAATTCAATATATTTTTAAACTGTTAGGTAATATTTTTGATTTTTTTGTCAGTTTTTAAAATAGACTTTTCTTTTTTGACAGTTTAAATAAATTTCCGTTGTTTTCATTAAAATTATTACAGGTGTTTGTTCTGAAAATAATTTAATTTTTCTTAAATTTTTTATGTTTAAATATTTCAAATATTCTTTTTTTTTCTTTTGTTTCAGGAAATTCCTAAAGATCTCAAAGACAAAATATGATGGTACATGAAAAAAGTGTCACATTCTCCTAGCCTTCAGTGTGTGGGGGTATAGAGGAGTGTGTGCTGTCATCATTCTGATGGAATCTCTTATGGGTAAGTATTTTTTTTCTCTTTATTTTTTATTACACCATAATGAGTTCTTTCCTTTTTTAATTGAAATTTATTATTCACTGTTGTTAATTGTTATTGATTTGAAATTTTGTGTAAAAAATTATGAAATTTAACAGTGCTGTGTATAATACATATCTATTATTGCTAAAGATTTTTGTTTTATAGATACAATCTAAATATTTGGAAATATTAATTTCTGGCATTTTTACAGGCAGTTTCTAGTCCATTTTGAGAATTGGAAAAATGGACAAAGAAGAGAATATAATCCTAAATCAGCAGGATTGGAAATGGATCATAGAAATTTTAAAGGACAGACAGGACAATACAAAGGAAGTGCCACCCCCTCCAGTTTTGGTGTTTTGATAAAGGATTTATATCAGCTGGTCCAGATAAGGTTTTAAAGGACGAAAAGGATCACAGCTTCGAGGAGGATTACTGGCGAGTCATTTTTATTAATTTATATTATTTCACAATTTCCAATATTTACTTCACATTTTATGCCCTCCCTCTAAAAATTTGAATTTTTTAAATTTAATTTAAAAGTTTTTTCAAATCGACATGAATATTAAGTTTAGGGAAAAATAGAGAATGATTCATTTATTGTAGAGAATTATTTACTTTGATGCAAATAAAAATTGCGTCTATTTTAATGTTTATTATCTTGCTTTTTAATAATTTTTGAAATGATTTTCTGTGAATTGAAAATAATAATTTAAATTGTTAAATTATTAAAAAATTATTTTAAAAAAAAATTTTAATTTAATAACTTTAAGTGACAGTTTTAATTTGAGCTAATAATTCGGTATTATTAAAGTAATTTAAATTCTTTTTTAAAAATATATAAATTTTAAATTCTTTTTATATCAATCTTCACATCCAAACATAGTTTAATGTTTTATTGAATAGTTTTTCAATATTAAACATAGAGAGCTTGATCCCCACCCTTGCCCCCTCACCCCTGATGTGTGAACTGGAATCGTGAATGTTTGTTTACATGTAACATTTATTTTACCTTAATTTTCAATATTTTTATTGATAAAATTGAATTTTTAACAATTTTATATTTTAATATTCCAATATATTGCTGGAATATTTATATTATTATTTATAGATTTTTACGATTCGTATTCGTTTAATATTTTACGAATTAAAACGGTTCTATAACAGCCGGTATGCAATTCATTTTTCAAAAATGACTTTATGCATTTTTTAAATTTTCGACACTTTCGTATTGTGTCACGTTTTATAGATGAGTTCCGTCCCCCTCTCACTCTCCCCTAGATTTGACTTTATTTGAACATTCCTTTTAAACAGTTCTATTTTAAATTAAAATAAGATTATAATTATAAATTAAATTATTAATTCAGTTTATTAATTATATTCTTTATTAATAAATTTATTAATTTTTATTTATTAATAAATTAATAATTAAATTTATTAATTAAATTATAATTATAACTTTAATTAACTACACTGAACAAAAAATTCATTTGATTCAAGTAACCGATTACTTGACTATTACCAATTAAATATTTATTTGAATCAAATAATATTTATTGGAGTCAATTAAATGGTATTTGAACCAATAATTTAAGTATTTGAGGCAAATACTATTTAATTGACTCCAATAAATATTATTTGATTCAATAAAAATTAGGTACGTTTAATTCAAATATAAAATATGTTTAATATAAACATATTTTTTTGGTTGGCTACTTATTTTTGGATTAAAAAATTTGTTTCTTAGTGTACTTTGATACAGAAATAGTAATATTTCTACTAATCAAATAGTTAATTGTTTTAACGGATTATTAGTTAAATTCACTTTTAGGTTATGTCAACTTTGACTTATTTCTTAGTTGTTTATTTACTAATGATTAGTTATTTTCTACTGAAGATTAATTATTTTTTTTACTAATTGCTGAAGTGAAAAGTCAATTTACTAACAATTAGTTAGTTTTAACTAATTCAGATTTAAAGAGTAGTTAGTAGACAGCGATTAATTCAGATTTAGAGAGTAGAAAGTAAATCGTATGGAAAAACAATAAATAGATGAGATATAAATATCGAAATAGAATTTTGGGAAATGTGATCGGTCAACGAATTGCAATTAAAGAGAAAATCACATTATCCCATCAATCCTTTGAATCTATAGCAGTGTGGAGCATTCAAATCACGCAATGTCTGTTTCCTCAAATTGAGAGAACTTAATTTACACCCATAATATTGTCCCATGTCCCATAGGTATATGTGTATATGGGGGAGTAACATTGCTCGGAGGCATATAACGGCGCGAATCCTAACTTTTAGGTAAAGCAGAAGCAGCAGCAGCAGCACTAGCAGTAGGCGGCAGCGGCGCATACATGAAATGGCTGGTCTCGCAGGTCGCCCCAACGAGTCATGTGCGCGGGGGGGCAATCGATATCGCGGGGCTCGCGGGGTAGCATTAGACAGAGAAGGATGAAGTCGTGGGATTTGCAATGTTGGGGGAAAATGGGTGAGAGTGGAAAAGAGAGCGAGCGAGCGAGAGAGAGAGAGAGAGAGAAAGAGAAAGAGTACACGCGACGTTCGCGTCCGCGTACGAGCGCCCCGGTGTGTATTATTCTTTTCTCGTTCTCTGCATCAGAAAAGTAGCCAGCTCGCGTAATTTTCATCCCGAGTCCGGTGGTACAGTGTGACCTCTCCCCCGAGGTGTCATTGCCTTCGGGGGAAATTTTCGATTCGTGTTACGTTCATATAGATATATACATATTTAGGGTGAAACCGCCCTAAAATAGATGTATATATATAGATGTACACCATGCGGACGCGAATCGACATTATACTGATGCTCACGAACGATGATGTCAATACTCCATTGAAGGGCCCGAGATGAACTTAAACGATCTCAAGTCGTCCCTTGTCCAGCGGGACTTATAATACATACACAGTGGTGAGTGGTACACCATATAGAGAAAAAAAACCCCGTAGAGTTCATAAATGAATGAACGAGAAAGAGAGCGAAAGAGAGAGAGAGAGAGAGCGAGCGAGAGAGAAAGATAGAATATCCATGGGGATGAAAATAGGGATAGAGAGAAGAAACCTTTTCTGGATAAAGAGGGGGGTGTGAGACACAAAAGTGTGTAGGTCTGACCTTAAAGTGGAGACCATAAACCATGGGGTGAACGTGTAACCCAAAAGTCATAAAATACAAGATATTATGGGACGCTTAATACAATTTTATGAAAGTACACTGACTTTACTGACAGCTGTGTTGCACTTTTTCAATTAGTAATAAATAATAATTCTTATTCTTTCTCCGAGAGTAAACAATTTTCAAGGATTTGCAGTTGATTGTTATCTTTTTCACCCAATTTTCTTTTTTTTTCAATTTGCAAAGTTGAGTGTTTATTGACAATATTTTTATTTGGAGAATGTTTTCGAAAAATTCCTTCGTGTAGTTATTTTAATTATTAATTGATGGAATTTTCTTTTTTTTAATTATTGGTTACTAATTAATTAGTTATAATTTCTTTTAATTATTACCAAATTGATTATTTATAACTTCTTTTAGTTTTCACCAAATCATAGCCGTCAATTATAAAGTTCGTATTATAGCTAAATTAATTTTCACTATGAAATCATAATTTAAATTCTACAATTATAATTTAAATTAAATACAGCATAGTTTTGTAATAAATTAAAAGGTAATCAGTAATTTAAGTCAAATCCTCATATTCTCCAGAAAAGTTTTCGTACTCTTTTGCAAATTTTTTAAATAGTTTTCCAAATAATTATCTACATAGATTCCGTCAGTATTTGTTGAATCAAATGTTTAGATTTTATTTCTGAATGCATATTATAATAGAAATAGTGCCACATTAGTGGAAAAAGACAATAATTAGAGATAGTTTATAAAATTTTTTAAAACTATAGTACTCCCTAAATCTGAATTAGTAAAAAATTACTAACGGAATTATAAAGTCGTTTAATTAGTAAACATTTACTAACAATTATAGTAATATTTTACAGTTTGTTAGTAAAATTCTACTAATTAGATTACTTAATTAAATTAATTAAATGTGTTTTAATACAAATAAATAAATCGTTTGAAATGAGTTTACTGTAAAGAATAATATTTTATTTCTCTTTGAATATGAATTAGTGAAAAGTCACTAATCAGTAAATTTGAATCAGTTAAAATAATTAATTCGATACTAAAAAGTTAGCCACTGATTGGAATTGTAATATTTGATTAATTTAATAGTTAATTAGTACTAATTATTAGTTAAATTTACTTTTAGATATGGCAAAATCACTAAAAAAATTTATAATCAATTTAATTAGTCAAATTTGAAAATTTTCGTAGTTAACTAATAATTAGTTATCTTTTACTAATTGCTAATTAATTAATAGGAATTACTATTTATTAGTGAATTTTACTAATAATTTAGTAGAAATTACTACATATATATTAGTAAAAATTACTAATTCAGAAGAAAAAGGCAGTCACTATAAATTTTACTAATAAACATAGTAATTTCTACTAATTTATTAGTAAAATTTACTAATTCAAATTTAGAGAGTAATCCAGATTTAGAGAGCATCCACTAATTAAAATTAATAAAGATTTTTACTAGTTACTAATTACTAAACATATTAATTGAAAACAAGTAAATATTACTTATTTTTTATATGTGGAACTTCTTTGACTTATTTTTAGAAAATTTCCATTTATTCAGATTTAGAGATTATACATATATTCATTTGTAAAATAAATATGACTTTTATGATATTCATTCAAATAGTATTTATCATGACAACGTTTCACAAAACTTTGCACTTTTTAATGTTTTCTCTCTCTATTTATATATTTATTCACAAAAATAAACATCACGGATTACTGTAATGCACTCACTTCATCCGCGTATAATTCCTTTCTGTCAAGCCTGAAATCAATTAAATTCATTTTATTCATTCTTGCATTAAGTTGATACACCTTATAAGCCCATTTACAAATCGTGCATTGCAACAAAGTGGACAATTTAAGTCCATTAACGCATTTTGATATATTTGAAATCTCACGCAAAATAATTTTCAGAGACAATTGAGTTAAAAATCCAAAACATATAAGAGCTACTTTGATTTTATTTTAAACAATTTCAAATAAGATTTGGAAATCACTTTCTTTTATTCTAAATATTTAATATGTTAAAAATTAAATAGTACACTTATTACAAAATTTAATTACACTATCTACATTTGAATTAGTAGAAAACTACTAATTAACACTTTTCACTTAATTCAACAGCATCGATTCGTTTATTATATAAATTAGTTGCAATTAATTAATGACTTTACAAATAATTTGTCAAATTTGACTACTAAATTAGTTGTATTTTAATAATAATTTGTTATTTTTTACTAATTGGAATGAGGCCATCTTGTTCAAGGTTTTA